CGCCTAATAATAATCCCTCCAAAACCAAAACCAATAATAAATTGGTCATTTTCAATCTACGACTGTTTGTGGGACATTGCTGTGCGCAATTGGCTGCCGCGTTCGCCCACAAATATACAGTCAATTCACTTTACAGTATATTCTGTGAAGCGCTTTGGGACGTCCTCCCGACGTGAAAAGCGCTATATCAAATGCAAGGATTATTATTATTATTATAAGCTAACATGGACCATAATAACTATATTAATACGTATGCAATGTACATAATTTGTAAGTCCTTTACCTAAAATGATTGGATTTTGAGATACAAAGTAATAACTAGAAACTGAGTGGGGATGCTGGATGGACTGCTAATGCCTGAAATTGTTAATGTGGGACTAGATATATGTTATTTGAATTTAGTGAATAATATTGAAGCATTTTGTTGCTTGTGTTGATGATCTGCATTCGTTTTGTCACCATGACTTAGATTTCCTGATTAAGGCAATGTGTAACACTATTAGCCCTGCAAAACAACAACCACTTGCATTTATATAGCACCCTTTACATGTGGTAGCGTCCCAGAGCACTTCACAGTGGCGGAGTCTGACAAAAATAAGATCTGTGTATAGATACTTCCCAATGAAGTAAACCCATAAGGATAAACCCTGGGAATGGTTTTAAGTGGTCTTTAGGCAGGTGGTCTCCAAACAAACTTTCAAGTGTAAACACCTTATTGTTCGGGCTGGAGTTAAGTGGTTATTGTGGACAGATGGTCTCTTGAAATCGATGGAATATAGTGCTGTACAGCACACTGATTAGCTTCACAGGCAAGGTCGAAAGGATAATTTTAAATGGGTGTGGAATGGGGATCTCGGTACCCGATAAAGAGGCAGAAACAGTGCTATACATGTTGCTTTTTTTTTAAAAAAATGAACTGTCAAACTAAGGCTGGCATTCTGGAGGGTTGAATTGACCGTGAAGAGTGAAATACAAAGAAAGCTCAAATAGTTTCAAAATAAATTTCCCGATGAGGTTATGTACATCATTTCACCTCAGCAATAATGAGGGGAGGTACAAAGACTCCAACTCACTTGAATCGGCTGCTAAAGTGTTGGATTACCAGTCTCTATAGCAACGCAGCACAAATAAAATCTCTGCTTCCAATGAGCCTAGGCTTGTGTTCTCAAAAAACACATATCATTGAGAGCCTCATCTCGTTATTATTTATTATTTGCTGAGTTATTATTTTATTGTATTTGCTTTTTGGAAGATTTGATTCCCTGTCCCCAGATTCCTATCATATCTTTTATTGTAATAATGATAATAAGTCACTCTTGCCATGCTGATAATCTCATTACCTGCCTTTTCTAAACAGTCTCCCTAGGATGCGGAGCTGAGAAAGATTTCAACTTAGATTGTTTGACAGTGTTCTCAATCTCCAGAGATCATTCACATTCTACCTCTAAACCGAGGATTGTGATCCCGCCTTACAATAGTAATAATAATCTTTGCATTTGATATAGTGCCTTATCACATCTTCGAGACGTCTCAAAGCGCTTCACAGAATATACTGTAAAGTGAATTGACTGTATATCTTGTGGGCGAAACACAGCAGTCAATTGCGCACAGTAGTGTCCCACACAGTCGTGGATTGAAGTGACCAAATTATTATTATTATTTTCTTTTTAAGGGGTTATTATCCCCAGAAAAGCGATCTGCCAATTGACTACCACCCGGGTTTCTACTTACTGCTAAGTAAACAGACGTGTGGAATAAGGAAACTTGCCTAACATTTTGTCCTGCCCGGGATTCGAACCTAGATTTTCTCGCTTGCAAGGAGAGTGCCCTAACCAATATGTTACAGGATTTCACAACCCACAAAGAGCTTGCCATGCATTGGCCTATTTCTGGTGAATTTCAGTCGCACCACTCCTGAGAAAGACTGAGTATAACCAAATTCTGGAAAACAGTCTTATTATCCAAACACCTCCTTAACATGTTAGCTTCTAACCCAGTTGATGAAATTTAAGAAAAAAATCAGTCTCAACGGTAAGTGCCTCCTCAGTAATTGGATTATATCGATTAAAAATGCAACCAAGAGAATAGGCCCATGATATACTGTGTGCCGAGGTTATTTTATAAATGCTAGTGAAGGCTCATAAAAAAAGATAGGAACATTGATATATTAGTTAATATTGCGGTATAACTCGATGAATGATTGTTGTTTAATATTTATTGCGCAACAGCACTGTGCTGTCCTTCAGGTCAAACATTAAATTGAGGTCCTCTCTGCCTGTTTAGGTGGACATTCAATGGCACTTTTTGAAAAGAGAAGGGAGTTTCTCCCAATTACTTGGCCAACAAATCTCCCAAATAAAATTGGTCACTCACTCCATGGCTGTTTTGGGACATTGGTGTGTCCTCCTTACGTGAAGCGCTCTGGGATGCTACTCTCAATGAGGGGCACTATACAGGCGTTATACGAAATGCAATTATTATTAATATTACACATTTCAGAATTCAGTCACAATTAATGCCTCCATTGTTTATAACCCACTGGTATCTCTGTTGTGATCCAGGACCGCAGTGGACCATCGATCCATGGACATGTGGTGAATCAATTTCAGTTTTGAGAAGCTCCTACCAATTATCTACGAATGAGAAACAGGAATAGGCAAGCATATGTTAAGAGTTAATTGCAACCTGCAAGTTGGTGCAAGTCTTACCCAAAGGGTTACTTATCAACGAGCTTCCCAATATTGGTTGAGTTACAGAAATACAGTGCAATTATAGTTAACTATTAGATAAAGCAAATAGAGAACTATTATACGCCATATTATACAATGTGAAAAAAAATACCAGAGGCACATGATTGCTACATGCTGTAGAGACTACAGAGACTTTGTCAAGTATGTATTAATGTGTCACTCAAATTTGCTGCTCTGCCTCAGTTACAGTGAGCAATGTTTAGTTGAAGCCATTTAATGCCATGCCGTTATTTCCGCCTGACAACCAAAACATTGTGACATCAAAATAGATGATATCTTACATTCCTATGTTCTTTGACAAGGTGCAGGGAAAATATTCTTAAATGTTCATTTATCTCAGATGGTTTCCAAAACTTTAGCTGTTGTATTAGATGTGGAGTCCCAGCTCCTACAGTGTCAATGAATGGTTCAATGAATGTCCTAAGACCAAATAGTAGTCTTTGGCCCTATGGAACTTTGTAATATATAATGAATCTTTAACTCCAGCTATGGAAATATATTATGTCATGTAGACCAATTTGGCCTTATATGAAGCATGGTTATATATAGTGTATCAGGCTCAATATACCCGATCTGTCCTTAAAACTCTCTGAATCCATGCGCAACTTAGGCATCTGGTTCTATCCCCAGTTCCTCCCCCACATCCATTCCCTGGCCAGAATCGCTTTCCTCTACCTCCGCACATTGCCTTTCTCCAACAATACCTCACTGCACAAGCTGCCGAAACCCTTATCCATGCATTTGTCACCTCTCGGCTGGACTACTCAAATGCCCTCCTCTCCGGTCTCCCCTCCTCCACTACTCACAATATTCAATTCATCCAAAACTCTGCCGCCCACATTCTCACCCACACTAAACTTCACACCCCAATTACCCCATTCCTTGCCAACCTCCATTGGCTCCCTGTCACAGAACGGATCGACTTCAAGATCCTCACTCTTGTGTTTAAATCACTTCACACCTTGGCACTCCCCTATCTTGCCAACCTTCTCTCTCCTTACAGCACTACCCGCTGCTCCCCAAAGCTATGGAATTCCCTCCCTAAATCCCTTCGCCTTGCCCCCTCTTTCCCCATTTTCAGGTGAGCCTGAAGATCTTACTCATCACTGTGCCTATGGTCAACTTCCCCCTCTCCCTAGCTCTGCATCGGGCTGCACCATTGGTAAGCACTCTGGAACATAGCCCAGCATGGAGGACGCTATATAAATGCAAGTTGCTGTTGTTGGATAAATTTAGGATATATTGATTAGGAATTACCGGATATTGGAGGACAACTTGCTGAAATCATTCGCAGTACCAACATTTGTGAAGCCGAGTTAAGCATTCAATTCCCCAGTTTCTGGATTTGATTGCCAGGAAAAGGACAGTGGCTTTATTTGGGTTTAGTAAAACACTGTGCTCCTGTTTACTGGCACTCGGAAGCCATGATCTGAAACCCAGAGGCCAAATGTGTGCCTCTGCTCCATAGATGTCAGCACTGAGAATGCTAACGGGCCGAATCCATTTCAGTTTTGTAGGCAACCAAATGCCTACATTTTCAGTATACACTCTATTGGGAATAGGAAGGTGGCAAGGATAAGCGGAGTTACAAACAACAACAACAACAACAAGATTCCATTTATAAAGCGCCTTTCACGTCAGGAGGACGTCCCAAGGCGCTGCACAGTTGGGTCATGAGACCCATGAGTAAATATTGACCCTGCCTAATCTAGTACTTCAGTTTAAAGCATGGATAGAAACATCTAGCAACATGGAAAATCCTACAAAATGTGACTTTCTTTTACCTCCCACATGGTAGGGAAGGTTAAGCATAACCTGATACTTTCACATCTGGGTCAGACTGATGTGGAATTTGACAGACGGTTCAAGCTCCGAAACTGCTAACGCTAGGCTAATAATCCAGTCCCTTTTCCAGAATCCTTTTATGTTTCCTGCTTGCTTCTCATTCTCAATTGCCAATTTAGCCATAAAGCAATATGCAACATTTTATACCCCGATAAAAGGTTCAAATCATAATAATCCTTGCATCTGATTTTGTGCCTGATCAAGTCGTTGAGATGTCTCAAAGCGCTTCACAGGATATACAGTAAAGTGGATTGACTGTGTATTTTGTGGACAAAACACGGCAGACAGTTGCACAAAGCAATGTCCCACAAACAACCATGGAGTGAGTGAGTGAGTTTATTTGGGGAGATTGTTGGCCAGGACATGAAAGACATTAGCAAAAGGAAGGAAACCCATTCACAGCAATTCAAAGGAAACACTAATTTTAATGCGTTGTACAACACAAACAGAGTAGAGAAAGAGATACAGTATGTACATTCATGTCACAACTAAGTATTTTAAATTACACATATGTATTCACAATATAAGACACAGAATTGAAGTCTGACTTCAGTACATCAAACAAAAATAGATGAAAAGTCTTTTCCTCCTGATGCACATGATTCTCAACTGAAACAGGAAAACATAGTTGTCTGAATTCACATGTGACCAAATTAAATCTATGTCTTGTTGGCTTTTTGAACTACCTACAAAAATGCTATTTTGGCAAATCTCACCAGAGTAATCAACTACAGAACTTTTAAAACGTAGTTGTGTTTGGATGGGGGAATAGCGCATCAGAAATGTAATATGATTTTGTTTCAATATACCTGACTTTATAATTATTTTTGTAAAAGAATAAATCACTTAGATATTAATTTAATATTCATCTGTTACAAAATTACATGGTTGAGCAGGTCACATCAAATATAAGAGAAATATGAACTTTACTTAAACTTTAAACTTCCAGTATCTTTGCGCAAACATTGTTTAGAAAGTACAACTTGCTCGTTCTGTTAATGCACAATACAGTATTTTCAGCTAACAAATAACACAAAAGAAGCTAATATGAAAGCATGCAATGACTGACATATGGCACTACCGTTGTTTTGGGAACTCAGTCAAGCTTTAAAAACATACTGTATACATGTTAGGTAACAAACTGTTGCACAACATGCTGTTACTTTTATGTTAAGATGCAAATCACTGGGAAGAAGTGGGTTTGAAAGTTAATGCAACACTGTTGATGCAAAACCTTTGCCCTGTAGGTTCTGGTCCATCATCAAACACGTGGCCCAAATGTGCATCACACTACATTAATAAAGATAAAAAAAAGGTGAGCACATTAGACAAATGTTAAGAGCGACAACCAATATCTGCATTTATTAGGACTCACCAATATTGTGGATATGAGAACAGTGTGGTTATGAAGTCATTACAGATTACAATGTACAGTACCAACCTAAACCTTTTTCCATCAGGAATTCTACCACCTACCCAGTGTCAGCTTTGTCCCTCACTTTTTTCTCACACTTCTGCACACAATGCAAACCCTTTCTTCTCCACCACAGGGTGAATCTCTTCCTTTCTCTTTAATTGTCTGATTCTGTCTCTCTTTCTAACCCCGTACATACTTGTATCAATTCTCTCTACTTTGCCTTGCTGGTTCAAAAAATAATAATTTGGTCACTTAATTCTTGACTGTTTGTGAGACACTGCTGTGTACAATTGTCTGTCACGTTTCGCCCACAAAATTACAGTCAAGTTGGTTTGGATGAAGAAATAGCTTTGGCCTATTTGATCTCATTATTGCAGAATACTTACCCTGGCACTTTAATAATAATAATAATAATCCTTGCATTTGATATAGCGCTGTTCACGTCAAGAGGACGTTCCAAAGCGCTTCACAGAACACACTGTAAAGTGAATTGACTGTATATATGTGGGCGAACGCGGCAGCCAATTGCGCACAGTAATGTCCCACAAACAGTCGTAGATTGAAAATGACCAATTTATTATTGTTTTTGGTTTTGGAGGGATTATTATTAGGCGTTCCCATCACCTCATCAAGTGTCTTGGCCTCAACCATCCTTTCTGACAGCTTGTTCCAATTGTTTACTATTCTATGGATAAAGAAATACTTCCTGGTGTCTGTCCTGAAATTACCCTTTGCAATTCTAAACCTCAATCCTCATATTCTACAGTGTTTTTAATAAGTTTACTTTCTCAAACTCATTAAAAAATGCATATAACTCGATAAAGTCCCCTCTGAGACATCTACTTTAAAGACTGAAAAGCCCTTGCTTGTTTAATCATTACTCATAGTTCATTCCTCTAAAACTGGGGATCATCCCCATTGCTCTCCTCCGCAGTAGGCACATAGGAACAGAAGGAGGCCATTCAACCCCTCAAGTCTTTTCCATCACTCTGTTAGATCATGGCTTATCTGTACCTCAACTCCAATCATTTGCCTTGATACCCTCACCTAACAAAAATCTATCCACTTCAGTCTTGGAAGATTTGAATGGATCCAGCATCCACAGCCTTTTAGGGGAGAGAGTTCTAGATTTCCACTGCTCATTGTGTGAAAAAATGCTTTCTGATTTCACTCCTAAATGGCCCAGTTCTAATTTTAAGACTGTTCCCCCTTGTTCTGGATCCTCCCCACCAGAGGAAATAGTTTCTCTGTAGCTATCCAGTCGAATCCCTTTATTATTTCAAAAACCTCAATTAGACCACCCTTCAACCTTCTAAAGTCAAGTTTATGCAACCTGTCCTCATAATTTTTATGTAAAATTTTAATTTAATTTAATAATTTTAACCCTTTTAACCCTGGAATCTGCACTGCACCTCCTCCAGAGCCAGTATATCCTTCCTGAGATACTGTGTCCAAAATTGAATGCAGTTCTCCAGATGGGATCTGACCAATGCTCCATACTTTGATAATCTTTTGTAACTGTGAGCTTGTTTTTAGTGATTATTGTATGTGGACACCCAAATCCCTTTGTTCTTCCACAGTTCTTAGTTCCTCACTGTTTTGAAAATATTCAGTTTTGTCATTTTTGGATCCTTTGTAACTTCCTGTTTCCATCAACACAGTTTACTGTGCCTCCTAACTTTGTGTCAGCTGCATTCTCTCCAGTGCCAGGGCAATCCCCTTATGTCACGCTGACCAGAATTGTATGCATTCATCTATATTGAACAACTTTGATGATCTGCATTTACAATGGAAAGAAATCTATTCCAAATGCACATTCTCAAAGTAGATACACAATGATATATATATATATGTATGGTTTTATTGCACTGGTAGTGATAACGGCAAATACAGTGGAATCCACTTTTGCCGAACATTGGGTAAATCAAACAAAATCTCCAGCCCGGATTCATTTGGATTATTTTAAATATCCCGGTTGATTCAGACAAAGATCCGGTTACACCGTTACAAAGCCACGCTGGTTGCCTCTGCGTTTACTCATTCGAGCTTCTGTGGTGTCGAGCTCCTCCACTCAACCACAACAGGCTCCCGGGTGTAGATGGGAGGAGTCAAATTGCGATTGACAGCAGACTCCAACCATTCGCAAGCGGCTGGAGTTGGGCTGTCAATCAGTGAGGGGGCGGAGGAACAGGGCAGAACAAGGAAGGGAATATCACAATTGATTGACAGCTGAGCTGCTTATGAATGGCTGGAGCCCAACCATTAACAAGCGGTTTCGGGTTGTCAATCACCTTGGAGCCACTGCTAATTGGTGCCCTTCCCGTCCCTTGGGAACAGCAATGGGAAGGAGGAAGCACACCCCCACTCCTCTGCTGGGTGGGGGGAACAGTACTGGACTGTCATTTGCAGCCAGACCAAGGTAGATTAATTTACTGAATTGTATGAGAGTATTTTAACTTTGCTTCAAGTGAAACTTTGCTTCAAGTGAAACTTTGTTACTTAACATTGCTTCAAGTGAAGCAGCATTATTACATATTATTATAGAGCATCGTCAGCGCAGCTCCTCTGCTGGGCGGCAATGGTATTTCAGCTAACCTCTGATACCTCCTAAGCCGGACAAAACAGCCGTCTCCAATGTGTCCGGCTTAATAGGCTTCACCTGTACAGATAGATTCAAAACAAATATGTCACCCCCATAGTCGAGTCTAAGACGAGAAACATAGTTTCCACAGGACTATTTGGATAACAACAACAACTTGTATTTATATAGCGCAGTTCACGTAGAGTAGCATCCCAAAGCGCTAGACAGTGGGAGGAAGTAACCGTAGGCATGGTCAAAGATGAAGGTCTTCAGGAGCGACCTGAAGATGGGGAAGGATGGGGCAAGGCGGAGGGATTGAGGGAGAGTGTTCCATAGTTTCAGGAATTAGTAACTGAAAGCACAGCCACCGATGCTGGAACGGTGGGCACGAGGACAAGCAGGAAGCCGAAGCAAGTGAGTGGAGGCAAAGGGTAGTGGGTTGTGGTGAAGCAAGTCGGAGAGGAAGAGAGGTACCCTGGCATGAAGGGATTTGAAGACAAGTGTGAGGATCTTGAAATCGATAAGTGTTTAAGAGAAACTTTTTTCTTCTTTCCATATTATGACCTCTTATCACTTGCTTTCCTCTATTTCCCCCAATAACTAGACTTGTGCACAAAAGAAATGCCAATATACAACTCTGAGTACAGAACAGCAGTTTCACTCCCTCTGCTGTACTTAATTCCTAATCTCAGCCTGAGAGAGGTACTAAACGGAATACCAGATACCTTCTAACAACAGAAAAACTCATCGTTTGGCTGCTGATGGCTGAAGAGCTACATTCATGGGTGTAGGTAGCCTGACTTGCCAGTTAACCTGTAGATATTGGCTTAAAGCTCTCACAGAGTTCAGTGCACACGCACCTGAACGTTTGTGGAGAAGTCTGCTCACCACAGTTCAGTTGAGCCTCCGTCAGACTCCCTGCCAACAAATAAACCTGGCAATGGTGGTCTGGCTAATCATTATTTTGAAGTTTAAAAAAGACTTCTATGGGCCGAATGTAGATGCGCAAGAGCTTGAATCCGAGTGGTGTGAAACTATCTCCTCGAGGTGGCTTCGCATGATAGCAATCAGAACAATCTCAAACTGGAGCCAAACTGGAGTTGCTGTATCAACACGCTGAAAAACGTCAATCGCATCAACCTGGAAACTGGGTAAGAGGTGATTAAAGCATGAAGTTAAAGTGGGCTCCAACATCTCTCTGTTCTATCGTGTAGAGGAGAGCATGCTCACAACTGCAATTCTCCAAGTGGTCAGTTTCATCTTCAAAACCTTCCACGGTGCCCCCCTCCCCCCACCTCCAACATCCTAACCCCATATCAGCCTGTCCGCTCCCTCCGCTCAGCCTGCTTCAGTTCCCCCACACTTCCTGCCCCACCATTGGCAGTCAGGCATTCAGCATCTCTGCCCCCAAACTGTGGAACTCAATCCAACCACCTCACTCCCTGTCTTGCCTCCTTCAAGTCCCATCTAATGGCTTTCCTCTTTACCGTGCCTTTGGCCACCCTCCCAGCCCCACCCCAATCGACCCTGCCCTGCACCCCTCTTGACCCTAACTCCCTGCACCCTGGGATGTCTTTCCAACGTGAATCATAGAATTATAAGGCACAGAAGGAGGCCATTCGGCCCATCGTGTCTGTGCTGGCTCTTTGAAAAGAGCTATCCAAATCAATCCCACTCCCCTGCGCTCTCCCCATAGCTTGCAAACTTGTCCTACCCAAATAATTATCTACTTCTCTCCTAAAAGTTGTTATCGAATCGGCTTCCACCACCCTTTCAGGCAATGCATTCCAGATCCAAACTTGATGTGTGAAAATTTTTTCCTCACCTTCCCTCTGTCTCGTGCGGTGTACCTCAGGGCTCTGTCTTCGGTCCCCTCCTCTTCACCCTCTACATGCTCCCCCTTGGTGACGTCATCTGCAGACATGGGGTAAATTTCCACATGTATGCAGCTGAAACCCAAATCTACCTCTCTGCCTCCATCCTGAACTCCAGGACTACTGAGGTCCTGACCGACTGCCTGTCCGATATCAAGTCCTGGACAAGGGCCAACTTTCTCCAACTCAACGTCGCAAGACCGAGGCCCTTCTGATTGGCTCGCGCCAGCGCTTCCGCACCTTAGGTGCTGGCAGCATCAGCCTCCACGGCTGCACACTCAACCTCACTAAGCCAGTCAGGAACCTGGGTTCTTGTTTGACCCTGAACTGTCCTTTCTCCCCCACATCCGCGCCATGACCGGCACTACCTACCACCACCTCTGCAACATTGCCAGACTCTGCCACTGCCTCACCCCTCAGGCTGCCGAAACCCTCACCAATGCATTTATCACCTCGAGGCTTGATTACGGGAACTCCTTCCTCATCGGCCTTCCCAATTCTTCTCTTCACAAGCTGCAGATCATCCAAAACTCTGCAGCTCGTGTACTCTCACGCACCAGACTCCACGACCCCATCACTCCCACCCTCACCCGACTCCACTGGCTCCCCATCCCCCAGAGGATCGAGTTCAAGATCCTCGTCCTCACCTTTAAGGCCATCCATGGTCTTGCCCCCTCCTACCTCTCTGACCTGCTGACTCCCTACCAACCTGCCCGCTCCCACCGTTCATCAGGCTCCGGCCTGCTCCATGTCTCCTGCCCGACCCGCCCTACCATCGGTGGCCGGGATTTCAGCTTCTCTGCCCCCACACTCTGCAACTCCATCTCATAGTTCCTTCACCTCGCTTCCTCCCTTCCATTCTTCAAGGCTGGTCTCAAGACCCTTCTCTTTGACCATACCTTCGGTCTCCCTCCCACCTCTTTGCCTTCCGTCACCCTTACACCACCCCTCCCCATGCTCGGGCCCCGACATCTGACCGTTCAGCGCTTTGGGAATTCCTCCCGACGTGAAAGGCGCTCTATAAATGTAATTTTTTTTTAACAACTATATTAAATCGGTATCCTCGGATTACCAACCCACCCACCAGTGGAATAGTTTCTCCTTTTTCAGCCTAACGAATCCCCTCATAATTTTGAAGACTTTTATTAAGTCTCCTCTTAACCTTCTCTGCTCCAAGGAGAATAATCCTAGCTTCTCTAGCCTCTCCTGATAACTGAAGTCCCTCATTCCTGGTACCATCCTGGTAAATCTCCTTTGCACTTTCTCCAATGCCTTGACATCCTTCCTTTCACGGCTCTGTCCTTGACTGGTTCAAAGTGTACCTCTTATACCACCCCCACTTCATGCCCACAAGCAGTTTCTCCTCTAACCCCTGCACCATCTCAAGAGGCGTTCCTCAGGGCTCTGTCCTTGGTCCCCTCCCCTTCAATATCTACAGGCTCCCTCTTGGTGACATCATCCGCAGACATAAGATCAACTTGCACATGTATGCGGATGACACACAACTGTACCTCTCTGCCTCCACCCTTGACTCCAGGACCACTGCTGTCCTGACAGAACATCTATCAGACATCAAATCCTGGATGAGAGGTAACTTTCTTCAGTTGAACATCAACAAGACTGAGGCCTTCCTGATTGACTCCCATCAGCGCCTCCACACCTCAGGTACTGACAGCATTACCGTCCATGTTTGCACACTCCACCTTACTAAGCCAATCCGGAACCTTGGAGTCTTGTTTGAACTTCAACTATCCTTTCTGCCCCACATCTGTGCCATGACCCGCTCTGCCTTCCCCCACCTCCGCAACATTGCTCGCTCCGCCACTGTCTCACACCGCAGGTTGCCAAAACCCTAAAACACGCTTTCATTACAACAAGGCTTGACTATGCAAACTCCCTGCTTGTCGGCCTCCCCAACTCCTCCCTCTATTGGCTGCAGATCATTCAGAACTCTGCAGCCTGTGTCCTCTCCTGCACCAGGCTCCGTGACCCTATCTCCCCGCCTGATTCCACTGGTTTCCCATTACACAGAGGATACAGTTCAAGATCCTGGTCCTCACCTTCAAAGCCCTGCATGGTTTGCTCCCCCATACCTCTGCGACCTCCTAAACCCCTACCATCCTGCTCTCTCCATCCACTCAGCAGCCTGCTTCATGTCCCCCGCCTCGCTTGCCCCACTATTGACCTTCTGTAACTCTGTAACTCCATCCCGCAGACCCTCCATCCCTTGCCTCCTTCAAGACCCATCTCAAGACCCTCCTCTTCGACCATGCTTTTGATCGCCCTGCTTCCCCTCTGCCCTCCACCCTCCCCGACCTGACCCCCAGCTCGGGTCCGAAGCTCTGTCCAGAGCCTTGGGACGTCTTCCCGGTGTGAAAGGCGCTATAAAAATGAAATTTTGTTGTTGTTTCCAGGGCCATAACTGTGTCTTTAATCAATATTGCCACCACTATCCCTCCTTCTTTCCTTCCCTATCCGTCCTGAATCCATTGTAGCTAGCAATATTCAGCTCCAATTCCTGCCCTTGTTTGAACCAGGTCTTCGCTATTGTCACTACATCATAACCCCATGTGGCAACCTGAGCCTGCAGCTCACCAATTTTATTTGTCACATTCTGTGCAATTACGCACATGGACTCCAAGGCCGACTGAGTCTGCTCTGCATTTCTCCCCCATCTAATCCCACCTTTTTCTGGACTACTCCAATTGCATTGACATTCTTCCCTGTCCCCCCCTGTACATCTATTTGCTTTTGACTCCCCTCCCCAGAGGTGTCATCACCCTGACCGGTATTCAGGACAGAGAACTGGTTTGTGAGTGCCACACTCTCAGGGGATTTCTGCACTGCCCATCCCCTCTTCCTACCATGCCGGGTGGTCACCCACTCACACTCCTTCTGAACTCTCTGTAGCTGTGGGGTGACCACCACCTGAAACGTTCGATCCATGAACTCTTCAGCCTCCCATATGCTATGTAGTGACACCAGTCTCTCCTTGAGCTCAGAAACCCTCAGCTCAAGCTCGAGCAGCTGGAGGCACTTCCTACACATGTGTTTGTCCAGGGCACACAAAGCAACCTGGAGTTCCCACATGGCACACATTATGCATGCAACCAGTCTCAGTTGCCCTGCCATATTCCCAGAAATATTTTATATTAATTTAATATAAATGTTATATATTTTATAATTATGCTGAAGAAGTGAAAGGAGCCTTGATTCATTTTTCTCTTTCAATATTTTTTCCAAATTGGTTTCAGTTTATTTTAATTTCCTCCATTTTATTTTCTCACTCAAATGGATTCCTGCCTGTTTCTTTGCCTACCTTTTTGCAGATGACTTCTGTTCCAGTGGACCCCATGGAATTGTCTGTGCGTCGCAATGTATTAGAATTGCTTTCATCATTGCCCTCTGCACCTTCAACTTGCGAGAAAGTTGGCCATCCGGACCCAGAATCATACTTTGTTTCTGAGCTTTTGTTAACAAAATAAAATAAAATGGAGGTTAGTCTGTAGTCATATATGCAGCAATTAAACAAATTTATTTTGCAGTTCTCTGTGAGATACAATGCATTAGAATAGCTTTCATCATTAGGCATTGCTGTCTTTCTTTCGCCCACCCCCTGCCACTTATTATAAGTGGCAAACCCTTGAGTCATTACCCCCTGAATCTCTGCCTCTATCCATTCGCCTCTTTATCTTTAAATTCCACCTTAAAATCTTCCTGAAACTCAATGGCTGAAGCGATGATTTAATCAGATAATATAGATGCATTCAAGAGGAAACTAGACCTTCACAAGAAGGAGAGGGGAATAGAACGATAAAGGAGAAAGTAAGGAATGGATGAAGACTCATGTGTTGTATCAACCCTGGCATCGACTAGGTAGGTCGAGTGGCCTGTTTCTTTGCTGAACATTCTTTGTAATCTTTGTAAATCGTTGTACCTCTTTAACTGCACCAATGGTCACCTTCCTTTCTCCTTTGTTCAACATCCAATCTGCTTACTCAACATCCAACCGCCACTGTGAAGTACTCTGAGACATACTACTCAAAGGGCAGTATGCCCTAGTCTTTAAAGCAATGCCATTAGAGGCACCTTATGAGTAAAACCTAGCATACATTCAGCATCAAGCAACAGAAATACTAATGTTTTATAATATCATGTAAATAATCTGATGAGGTCAAATTTGTAGAAAATTGTTAATATAGTATTGACAATCATTTTGCAACTTCACTGAACTCCATGGTTAATGGAGCTGATAAATTTGTTACATTCCTAAAATACCACACTCTGTAACATTTGGTGAACAAGATAGTACAGACAGGAAATATGGTGTCTACTGATGTTCAAGAGAGATAATTTAGTTGAAAAGTATACAGTATTGTTACAGTGAAAGAGTAATATGTTATAATAATCTACCTTAAATTTCATTATATGTCTGAAGCTAAACTGCTAGCGTACAAGCAAACAGTGAAAACAGAGATAAACAATGAAAACAGAGATAACAAACAAGACAACTTTTAATGGAATACTGAACACCTTATAAAAAGGCTGGTTTGCCAATGTTCACAAGCATTTGGTTAGTTTGATTAAAATGTACTCAAAACCCTTAAATTGCAAGTTAGTGTTACACTTTGTAAGCACAGTAAGACACGTTTTGCTGAATGAATTTGGATTGCAATTGGATCCTAATGAGAAAATCCCTTTTTCATAAATAAATAGTCATTGGGTCTCACTCATATTTGGAGGATTTGAGAGATAATCTGGTGCACATGGTGGTACAGGGTCAAGTTTTACATTAGTCTATGTCACACGCATTTGCATTAATTTCTTATTACCTTGCACAGTGTTTACAATTGACCATTTATGCTGCAACAGATATAGCAGATTGATTTCCATTTTAGTTCTTTGAAAAATCACACAGTGAATACTCAATGTTGACATTCAGAAAGATGAAGATTTGGTTGAATAACAAGAGTTAAGAGCTATATTATATACTCTAAGCCATCCCCAAATACAAACATGACTCCTGCTTTATCAGGGAAGGGGTCTGACAGACACTCTTATTGATTGTACTCAAGACATTGCCATGCCATTGAACAGATCATGGCAGTCAGATGTTCTACCCAAAAAAATCAGGAGTTATGCCATTCCCAGAAGACTTGGAAGGTTTCTATATACGACGATGCCTGTTGATCCATCTTATACATCTTACCTGAAGAGTGCAGCATTGCAGCACACACAATGATACATGCCTGGCTCAGAATTGTTCAGATAGATTCCACTGAAAGGCTACCAGAGAGCAAAACATTAGTAAAACATTAGCTTAAGCAGCCACAAGTTGAATCCAAAAGCAAACATTTAAACTGTCGACAGTGGATAACTAGTGACAGAAAATTTCAAGGAGGACTGCTTAGTATTTTCAAATAAAGCATACATTTACTTGCATTTTACCTACATTTCCCCTATCTTAATGATCAGGTTTTTTTAAAAAAAGTAATAAAATTCTTTTGAAGAAGCACATGCTCCATCGTTGATCTTCAGAGATCAGTGCAGTAAAGTGACAGCTGCAGTTCATTAACCTATCTATTGGTTAAAGTATCGTGCAGCACTGAGGAAATCAAGTCAGGCCACAGCCACGTACACAAAAATATTGAAATAGAATACTGTATTTGGAATGCGCAACCTCTCTTGCATTTTCATTCACCTGAAGTTTATATTATTAGTTGATTTTTGTGATCATCAAAATGAAGGATGTGGAAACAAATATCTCTTTTAACATCCAGTATCAACATCACTCGCTCCAGGGTCAGTTATATTACTTGGATAGATGTAGTGCAAAGCTGAATGGTTGCCTCAATGACTTGCCATAAATCCTACCTCAGAAGAGTAAACTTTATAATTATCAGAGTAAAACTGTTTCTATTTCCCATATCATTGAGACCAATGCTTTATTAGGATTCAGTGTTATGTCTCCGTCTCCCTGAAGGCAATAAATCATTTAGAAATAATGTTTAATGGGTATGACCCTTTGGTGTCTTGACCAAGCAGCCATTCATCATTTATGAGCCAAGACATTGAATGTTGATGGGTTATGTGACCTGAAGAGTAGTTCTGTCCCCACCACACAATTTTGCCCATATGTCTCACTTGGGCACAGAGGTAATGGGCTTGTGAACAGAATTGGGAACTGATTTCCGTCACCCAGGCAAAGAGCCCTGTCGTCAATGAAGCTCCTTATGGCTGTCCAAACTGATTTCAAATAACTCAACACACATTGAGGATGGAAAACCTATAATTCTCTTTAGATGTTGTTAGTGATACAGCTACAGCCATTGATACCAAATCTGCTGTACCTACTTTACTACTCCCGGTGCTGCGGAAAGATGATGCTACTTTAGGATGCAACATGACAGTAAACAAGAGGACATAGGTTTAGAATTGCAAAGGAAAATTTCAGGGCAGATAGAAGGAAGATTTTCTTTACGCAGAAGGTTATCAATGATTGGAAAACGTTGCCAGGAAAGATGGAGAGACCAGAACACTGGAATCGTTTAAAAAGCAGCTTGTTGTTGTGATGGGAGGAGACAATGAGATTGGGTGGACCAAAAGGCTTTCTTCATTCAAACCAATTTTGTGATCTTGTGAAGTGTAACTACAATGGTAAGAAGTGGATAAAGTAATGAATAATTAGCAATAGGTTAGAATGGAATATGTACAAATTGTAAAGGCATTGCCAAAAACTTTGATCACATAGCGATTGGAGTATGTGTAATAGTTAATCAATGGATGTAGTGGCTATTGTCATCAGTCAGAAAAATCTGGCTAAATTGGCTAGGAATACACATTATTTTAGATGGTGCACATACATACATTTTATCATTGCGCTCAGTTCCAAAAATAAATAGTGTTGCTATTTGAAACTTGCAAAGCTTTTGTTCTCTATAACTTTGTCTTCAATTGATATCAAACACAAAAGGTTGCCCAGAAATTGTCACACAAAGGAAGCATTGAATGGACATTAACACTGGAATCTGTCGAATTTATGGAATTCGCTAGAAGGAAGCTGAGTGCAGAACGTTCAGGAAAACACATAATTAGGCAATAATTAGGTATACTGTATGTGAATAAAGGCAGACTTTTTTTTGTATTCAAAACAAATAATGGCACTGATAGCAACTGGCAATTATATAGGACTCACAAGAAATATAACTAAATCAGTGCAATGGAAGTGAACATAAGTTACAAGAATTTGGGCATTTAGGAAAGATAGGAGGGACAGGAAAGGTGATGGGTTGGCTTATACATTATAAAATACAAAAATATAAAATTACATTTGTATAGCCCCTTTCACATCGGGAGGCGCTAGACAATCCGGAATTAATGCAAGGATACCTGGTGGCGACTCAGGAAAGGTGTGTGAAGTGCGTAATGTCTATGACCAAGCCAATGTATGGAGTTTGCTGCAAACCAATAGACTAAAGTGAGAAGCACAGAATGAGTGACATGGGGAAGCTAGTGCTAATGGGAGATTTCACACAGTCTAATGTGAACTGGGATGGATTCTAGGCTTGCAATTTAAACCAGCCAGCTGGCATTTGGAATTTAGCATTTTATTTTAATAAAATAAGGCCAAAACAATGCAGGCAAATGAACCTTTAGCTCATTGGACTGTTCTAGTTAAAAATACTGTAAAGAACAAAAAAACAATGTTTTTCTTTTCCTGCTAGCTTTGAGCTCAGGGTTCCACCATTAGCAAGTTACAAGAATATGCTGATGATGGCACCCCATCAGGAAGCAGCAATCTTGAGTGGAAGTAAAGTTTATGATTAGTCTAAAAACATGGACTATTATTACTTGGAGCCACTCAGACAGCAACTTCCCAAAATAAAGCAAAGAAGCTCAGGTGGTCCTTGATTTGAATTGGAAACAACAACAACAACAACAACAAGATTACATTTGTGTAGCGCTTTTCACATCGGGAGGATATCCCAAGGCGCTGAAACAATGCAGAATGCTCCAAAACAATGCAGAACAAGCAGTGATTTCTAACGGGATTTGTTGTTAAGGAAACTAAATGCTTCACGTCAACTGCTCCGAAAGTAAAACATTTCAGAGAACCGTTCCCACAGTGATCCACTTCTGGTTACAGAGGAAGCCTCACCTGAGGTTTATAATTCCCCCCTAGTCTTAGTCTGTAGTGAGCTTGTTGTTTAAAATTTAAGATAGCTCAGAAGTGTGGACAATTCTTAAATTTAGTCTTAATTTGGAAGTTGATTTTCTACAGTTTCTAAACAGTCAGCTTCCAAATTAAGAGTGAATTCAAGTATTTTCCACAATTCTGTGCAATCTTAAATTACATAACAATTAAACAGACGAGATAGAGTTTTAAGCCCTTGTCTGTCTTTTAAGGAATCCTGTTAGAAATGAAGGTGAATGAGAGGATCTCATTAAAGTAAAGAGCTTCATATAATTTACCAGCCTGTGACAGGAGGTCAAAATGCTAACTGTTCAGGAACACATGGGCACTTTGCAACACAGTAATTAAATTTACATTTGTGAAAAGCTAAGCTTAAGCGTAATTTTAAAAATCCTTGCATTTGATGTTGTCAAAATGTCTCAGAGGATTTTATTACAAAATATAATGACTATGTATTTTGTAGGCGAACACAGCAGCCAATTTGCACACAGCAATTCCCCCAAGCAGGCATAATAATAATAATCCTTGCATTCAATGTACTGCCTTATCACGTCTTCGAGACCGCTCAAAGCTCTTCACAGATTATACTGTAAAGTGAATTAACTGTATATTTTGTAGGTGAAACGTGGTAGCCAATTGCGCACAGCAGTGTCCCACAAACAGTCATGGATTGGGTGAACAAATTATTATTATTCATTTATTTTTAATATTTTTTGAAGGGATTATTATTTAGTTCAGCAACAAAATATATCTGGCTGTGGAGTTTTAAAAAAAAATCAAAAGGAATGTGCTTTAATTCACGCATTAAATAAAGCAAAAATATTTTACATCCTTCTCGTTTACAAAATTCAAATTCACTGAGCAAAAGTTAGCAAAAGATTCGATGAAGGCTTGTGTTTAAGGGATGGCAACGATTATAAATTGTAAAATGAATAACTAGGAAACTATAAGGACAGAAATAATGTGGATAAAGTAAGGAGATTGATCATAAATCACAACGTATATATATTGGTTTAAAATGTAGTTTCCTTGTACTGTTCATCACTGGGATTTATTTACTTTAAGGCTGACCTTAAGCTTTTTTTCTTTAGTTTAATCTAAAACTGAAGTGGCAGAGTCAAAAAGCAGAACAATCTACAACAGCCAAATGCAAAATGTATCTCACTTTCTTGAGTACCGAAGAAGACTCTTGCGCATATCTAAGGAACAAGCCGTACCCTTCAAACTCATCGCTGTCAGAGATTGTTGGGAGTTACAACAGCACTCAGAATTAATTCTGTAGAGATGTTTATTCTAATTGTACATCAGAATAAAAACTCTTACCTGTTGTCCTGAGCTTGGTACAGATTGCCAGAGACATAAACAGCTTGATGCAGCTCAGGCCAAGTGTAACTCGAGATACCATTTAGTATATGCATTGAGCAGTTAGATGAATACTTCCCCATGTGTGAGCTGCTCCGAAAATACTCAGTCTAACATCCAAGGGAACACAAATGTTTGTGTGTTCGGTGAGGGGTGGGGGGAAGGAGGGGAAGTGTATCAAGTGTTCCACTTTGCTCAGACCCAGTTTCAATAATATAATTATTTTTAGTCGGTGGGAAGGGTAAACTGGTGGATACAATCTTTCAGGCCACTTGCTTTTAGAAAATGATTACACAATCCATTAGCAGACCCCTTAAAATGAGTGTCTTAAATATTCTCTTGATCGGCCTATTGCAAATGGCACAGGAAAAGTAAATGAATGGAAGGCAGAAGTAAATGAACCATCTACCAGGAATCGAAGTAAAACAATGATTGAAATGGGCAGTCGGGCCTTCAGCCTCTCTGGCCTCACCTTTGGGAACTCCATCCCGGTATCCCTTCACTTCGCCCCTCCCTTGTCTCCTCCAAGGCCCGTCTCAAGATATTCCTCTTTGACCAGGCCTTCGGTGATCCTCCCACACCCATCCCCTTTGCCTTCCACCCCTCTTGATTCCAACCCCCAGCTCGGGTGCAAACCCTTGACTGTCCAGCGCCTTGGGACGTCCTCCTGACGTGAAAGGCTCTATATAAATGCAATTTGTTGTTGTTGTTGAAGGGGACAAAATATGATAATAATTTCTTACTTCCAAACTTATTACGTAACTTTTATCTTATTCTCACAATCTGAATATAAAGAAAATGCAGCACACCCGATAGATTAGGTCAGTAAATTACACTTTCAATGGTAGTAATACAGCACATGAACCAACAATTTAAAGTAAGTTCTAAATGTTCTGATGGTCTGAGTTTTTTTTCTTCACCAACCATTGCAACTACAGCAATTTCATTTTGTCATCCATTAGCATCAAGCAATAATGTACATGACAAGGCTGCTAAACACGCAAACAAAACATTGCCACAAATGTTTAGCACACAACAACAACTTACACTCATATAGCGCCCTCCACGCAGGGTAGTGTCTCAGTGCACTTAACCGTGACAGAGCCTGACTCTGAGCCAGGGGGAGGGGGGAAGTGGCCGTAAGCATGGTCGAAGAAGAAACTTTTCAGTCGGGACTTGAAAGAGGGGAGAGAGGGGGCAAGGCGGAGGGATTGAAGGAGAGTGTTCCAGAGTTTTGGGGCATAGCGGCTGAAAGCATGACCTCCAATGGTGGGGCAGAGGGTGCAGGGAACGAGCAGGATGATGGTGCCAGTCGAGTGGAGGCGCCGGGTGGTGGATTGGGGAAGAGGAAGTCAAAGAGGTTGGGAGGTGCCAGGGAGTGAATGGATTTGAACACAAGTGTGAGGTTCTTGAAGTTACAAGTGTGAGGACCTTGAGCCAGTGGAGTCTGGCCAGAACTGGTGAACATGGAGTTTGGTCCGGGTCAGTATCTGGGTGGCAGAGTCCTGAATAAGCTGGATCTTTTGAATGATACAGCTGGGGAGACTGGCGAGGAGTGTATTGGAGTAATCCAAGCAGGAGGTGACAAACGCATGCAAGAGCGTTTCGGCAGTATTTGGTGTACTGTACGGTCGGAGGCGGGCAATGGGGCAGAGGTGGAAGAATGCGGTCCTGGTCACACATGTAAGACACATCTAAATTGTATATGTGTAACAAAACAGCAATAAATCAGGGAATTGTTTTAAAAATATTTTAAATTGTGAGCAAGTACAGTATTGTATGAAAGTGTACACATTGAGGACCAGTAATTTACAGAAAGTAAACCCCTCATGCTGTGATCAACAAAACACTGTGTGTCTGTCCAACTTGTGAGTTAAGCAACCAGTTTGTGGTTTATTCTCCATTTATCACTTGTCCCCAATCTATATCCGACATTGGGTCTAAACTTGCTGTTTATTCATTTTATTAAACTGACAACTGGTATTACTTACTTACTCATCCAAGCTTATTATAGTGGTGCTTTGTTTTATGCTCCCGGTCTCTGCGTGCGCATTTTGGCTGCCGCCCCGACCCGAGCAGCAATCCCACGTGTCCCATCACCCCTCCACTCAAACCGCCTCCTTAAGGCAAACCCAACTCCGCCTTCCTTCATACGTACCCTCCCCAACTCTCCACTCACACCACTCTCCACAACCATCTCTCCTATACAACCCAAAATCCTCTCCGCACCACTCTCTCCTCCCTCCCCCTCCCCCAACCCCAGCAAACCCACCCGCATTTCCCTCCAAAGTGTCCATTCCCTCTCAAATAAAGCCCTCACTATCCACAACCTCATCCTGGACGAGCACCTTGACATTCTTGGGCTGACCGAAACCTGGCTCTCCCCGAATGACCTCCCCCTAGTGGAAGCCTCCCCTCCAGGCTACACCTTACACCACACCCCCGTCCAAACCAATGTGGCAGCGGGGTGGCCTTCATTTCCAAAGCCTCCCTTCGTCTTACCTCCTACTCCTCTGGCTGTTTCCCCTCCTTTGAGCACCTCACCCTCTTCCACCCTTCTCTCCCTTTGAAAATCCTCCTTGTCTACCGCCCCCCCCTAAGCCCCCGGGCTCCTTCCACACAGACATCTCTACTCTCCTCTATTCTCTGTCCCTCTGCTCCGAGCGCCTACTCTTAATGGGCAATTTCAACCTCCACCTAAACTCCCCTTGCACCACTTCTGCCGACTTCACTGCCCTCCTCTCCTCCCTAAACCTCACCCTTCATATAAATTCACCGACCCACAACTGTGGTCATGCCTTTGACCTCATTATCACCCATGACCTTGACATTTCCAATCTCAGCATAGTGGACAAGGCCATCTCAGACCACTTTTTCATCTCCTTTTCCTCTCACATCCCTCTCTCCTCCACCAGCCCTCAACCATCCTCTACCATCCTTGGAAAAGGCTACCCCCTGAGACCCTCACAAAGGCCCACTCATCATCAAACATCCTATCCCTCTAGCCTTCCACCCGCGGAGATCCAGAAGCAGCCGTCCAGCTGCTCCATGGTCGCCTCTCCTCCACCTTCAACTCCCTCGTCCCCCTAAAATCCAGGACCATCTCCCTGGTACAACAACCATCTCCGCCGCCAAAAAACTCAAACCCGTCTGCTCGAGCGCAGATGGTAGAAAACTGGCCTGACAGTCCACCGCCAACTGTGGCTTGAGCATCTCCATAGCTACCATCGTTCTTTGACACAGGCAAAAACGGTCTTCTACTCCAACATCATCTTGGAGGCTAAACACAACCCTAAAATCCTTTTTTCCACCACCCACTACCTCCTCCGTGCCCCCCCTCAGGTCTCCTCAATTTTCGTATCAAATGCCAAGTGCGAGGAGGTCATGGACTTCTTTTCATCTAAAATACTTAACATCCACCAGGCAGCATCATCCACCTGCCCCTCTCTGTCCCCCTCACCTTCCTCATCATCTGCTCCTACCACCACCCCCATTCTACATTCCTTTCTCCCCATCTCTCCTTCCTCTCACCCACCATCACCTCCATGAAACCCACCAACCATCATTAACCTCTCCTCCAGATATCAGTCCCTGCCTCCTTCAAAACTGCTGTCATCACCCCCCTCCTGAAAAAACCCTCCCTAGATCCCTCAAACCCCAGCCATTACCGCCCTATTTCACCTAACTCATTTTTCCACCTCTCTTTGCGATCCCCAGTCCCCTGATGTTCTGTCAGCCTACCTGTCAGACCTCAGGGGCTGGATGAGCGCAAACTTCCTTCAGCTGAACGTTGACAAGACGGAAGGCATATTCTTTGGCTCTCGTCAATGTCTAAAATTTCATGGCTCTCACCTCCTCCACCTAACCAGCTTCCCCCTAAAACTCTCTGAACCTGTATGCAACCTCGGTGTCAGGTTCAACCCCCAATTAACCTTCCTCCCCCACATCTGGTCCCTCACCAGCACCACTTTCTTCCGCCTCCGACGCATCGCCCGTCTCCGCCAATACCTCTCCCCAAAAGTCACTGAAACCCTGGTCCATGCCTTTGTCACCTCTCATCTGGACTACTCTAACTCCCTCCTCACTGGTCTCCCATCCACTACCATCCATAAAATCCAGATCATTCAAAACTTTGCCGCCCGCATTCTCACCCACACGAAACTCTACTCCCCGATCACCCCAGCCCTTGCCAGACTGCACTGGCTGCCTATTCCAGAGAGGATCGATGTCAAGATCCTCACTCCTTGTATTCAAGTCCCTGCTCTCCTCTGCACCCCCTTACTTCTCTGACCTCCTCTCTCCTCAAAACAGTACCCGTTGCCTCCATTCCTCCGGGTCTGGCCTCCTCCTCGTCTCCCGAGTCCTCCGCTCCACCCTCGGCGGCGGTTCCTTCAGCCTCTATGCCCCGAGGATCTGGAACTGCCTTCCTCACTCCCTTCGTCTCGCTCCTTCCCCATTTTCAGGTCTCTGCTGAAGACCTTTCTTTTCGACCATGCCTTTGGTCACCTTCCTCCCCCCCTCCCCTTGGCTTAGCCCCAGGATCCGTTACTGTAAAGCGCTCTGAGATGCCGTCCGGAATGGAGGGCGCTATATAAATCCAAGTTGTTGTTGTTGTTTGTTTTACAAATATTTCTCTGTAAACGTGGTATCATGGTAACACAAAAAAGCATTAAAGGAGAAAAGGCCAATCAGCCCTTCAAGGCTCCCTTTTCCATTACAGTCTCCCTTTCAAAGATACCACCCCATCCATTCAACTCTGGAGAGAAATTTCTGTGTAAATACTCCTTGATTCCCAAAGGTAGTTTTCACCCTTTAAAGACCTGGATCATGCCTTTCTTCAAACTACTTTACGATACGAGTTTCAGATGATCCTGCCTACACAGGATAATAATAATATTCCTTGCATTTGATATAGCGCTTTTCACGTCGGGAGGACGTCCCAAAGCGCTTCACAGTATATACTGTAAAGTGAATTGACTGTATATTTGTGGGCGAACACGGCAACCAAATGCGCACAGCAATGTCCCACAAACAGTCATGGATTGAAAATGACCAATTTTATTATTGTTTTGTTTTTGGAGGGATTATTATTAGGCGTGTGGAGTAAGGAAACTTGCCCAAGGTTTCGCCCTGACCTGCCTGGAATTGAACTCAGGTCTCTCGCTTGCAAAGCAAGTGCTCTAACCACTGAGCTACAGGACTCCACATATTATGGTTATATTGAACCAGCAATGCTACTGTTAAATCAGTCAATTGAGTCATGTGGAAAAGTGCTGCTTGATGTCCAATGCCTATTCTTTCCTCCAAATCTTCAGCCACCCTTCACCTGCCTCAGATTTCCCAGCTGAATGTATGTATAGTGACATTGACTCTCCACTTGCAAAAATAGTTCAACAACTGATGTCATCTGAAATGCTTCGTAAATGATGTCCATCATTTGCAGTTTACTCCATGTCACCATGTTATAACAGTAAACTACTCACCAGTTCAGTTCCTTTTTCTCGAGTCACAAAGTATTGCTCTGGCGTCAGCTTCTTTTGCCAATCAACATTTATGGTTGATTCATCATATCGCGTCAGTGATCTTAAACCTATAGAAATGAAAAGTAGCAAACTCTTACTTAGGAACTCTTTTTGGATATCTGAAATAAAAACACAAGTCGCTGGGAAAACTCAGCGGGTCAAGGCAGCATCTGTGGAGAGGTAAATGACTTAACGTTTCAGGTCGATGACCGTTTGTCAGTATTTTGCCTTTTGGATACAATAATAACAATAATCCTTGCATTTGATATAGCGCCTTATCACGTCTTCGAGACAACAACAACAAAATTACATTTGCATAGCGTCTTTCACATCAGGAGGACATCTCAAGGCGCTGGACAGTCAGAGTGTTGGACCCAAGCTGCAGGTCAGGATTGGGGAGGGTGGAGGGCATGGGGGGGGAAGCAGGGTGATCGAAAGCATGGTCGAAGAGGAGGTCTTGAGATTGGTCTTGAAGAAGGCAAGGGAGGGGGTGAGGCGGAGGGACTACGGGATGGAGTTCCAGAAGGTGGGGGCAGAGTGGCAGAAGACCCTCTCGCCAATGGTGGGGTGGGCAAAGGTGCGGGACATGAAGTAGGCCAGAGCCCGCTGAGCGGATGGAGCGAGCAGGATGGTAGGGGTTAGGAGGTGGCAGAGGTATGGGGGAGCAAGACCGTGGAGGGCTTTGCAGGTGAGGACCAGGATCTTGAACTGTATCCTCTGTTTGATGGGAAGCCAGTGGAGTCGGGCGAGGATGGGGGTGATAGGGTCGCGTAGCCTTGTGCGGGAGATGGCACGCACAGCAGGGTTCTGGACGATCTGCAGCCCGTGGATGGAGAGTTCGGGAGGCCAACAAGCAGGGAGTTTACGTCGTCCAGCCTTGATGTAACAAATGCGTGTATGAGGGTTTCAGCAGCCTGCGGTGTGAGACAGTGGTGGAGCCGGATGATGTTGCAAAGGTGGGGGAAGGCAGAGCAGATCACGGCATGGATGAGGGGTAGAAAGGATAGTTGAGGGTCAAACAAGACGCCAAGGTTCCAGACTGGCTTAGTAAGGTGGAGTGTGCATCCGTGGATTGAGTGAAGGATTTTTTTTTAGAAGGAATTATTACCCGCGGAAGAGCAATCCACCAATCAACTAACAATCGGGTTCCTACTTACTGCTTGGTAAACAGGTGTGTGGAGTAAGGAAACTTGCCCAATGTTTCACCCTGCCAGGAATCGAACCCAAGTCTCTTGCTTGCGAGGCAAGTGCTCCAACCACTGAGCTAAGGACTCCATATCTGTCTATCAAGAAGATTGTTATATGTTTAAATAGTGAAATACACAAAGAGACGATCTACAAATGGACCACCTGAGAGTCACCAATGAGCATCAGCAGCACTTGTCTTGAGTGGATTTGGTCACGTCCAGGAGTCGACCATGTCAGTCATCAGATCTGAGTTTCTAATTAGTTGAATAGTTGCCCTTTAAGTTAGATTTTCAGCAAATCAAAGTCCAGCTTTTGAAAGTTGTCCCACCTCCAAGACACAGGTTGAAGGAGAGAAAGAAGGGCATAATTTTAGATCTGAGAGGATTAAAAACATAAATTGGGTTAAATTTAAATAAAATGTAGGGATATAAAATAAGGGCAGAGAACGCGAAAGAAGTCAGAACAGGGAACAAGGGGTAAATTAAAGGGAACATTTTTAATGTGCTTGAAGTGCTTGGTTTTATAGTTGTAGGGTTACTATTACATAATTAGGTTATTTATTCCAGATATTTAAGTAACTTTGTTACTGTTATATTCTTTTTTGTTTCAGCATCACAGCACAGCAGCTGTAAACATAAGAAATCCTTACCAGAGGGGAGACGAGGATAATTTGTTTTACTCAGAGATCTGTTACAGTCTGGAATGCAATGCCTGAAAGGTTGGTGGAAGCAGATTCGATAATAGCTTTCAAAAGGGAATTGGATAGGTACTTGAAAAGGAAACATTTGTAGGTCTATATTAATAATAATAATAATCCTTGCATTTGATATAACGCTTTTCACGTCTTCTAGACGTCCCTAAGCACTTCACAGAATATACTGTAAAGTGAATTGACTATATTTTTGGGCGAAACACAACAGCCAATTGCGCACAGCAGTGTATGCTGTAAGAGCAGGCAAGTGGGATTAGTTAGATATCAGGCGCTGACAGCATCAGCATCCAAGCTGCACTCTCCACCTCTCAAAGCCGGTCAGGAACCTCGGTGTTCTGTTCGACCCTGAGCTGTCCTTTCTTCCCCACATCCGCGCCACAGCTGGCACTGCCTTCCACCACCTCCGAAACATCGCCAGACTATGGCACTACCTCACCCCTCACGCTGCTGAAACTCTGGTCCACGCCTTTATCACATCAAGGCTGGACAACGGGAACTCTCTCCTCGCCGGCCTTCCCGGCACCTCCCTCCACAAGCCTCAGGTCATTCAGAACTCTGCAGCTCGTGTACTGTCCCGCACCAGGCTTCGCGACCACATCACTCCCACCCTCGCTCGCCTCCACTGGCTCCCCATCCCCCAGAGGATTGAATTCAAGATCCTCATCCTCACCTACAAGGCCATTCACGGCCTTGCTCCCTCCTACCTCTCCGACCTACTATCCCCCCACATACCTGCCCGTACCCTCCGTTCCTCTGGCTCCGATCTGCTCCACATCCTACCATCGGTGGCCGGGCCTTCAGCCTCTCAGCCCCTAGGCTCTGGAACTCCATCCCCCAGTGCCTTCGCCGCCTCCTCCCTTTCCTCCTTCAAGGCCGATCTCAAGACCTTTCTCTTTGACCGTGCCTTCAGCTCCCCTCTCGACTCTCTAGCCCTCCTCGCTCCCTCCCTTCCCTCCCCTCACCCTGACCATTTCCCCCCTGTTCGGGTCCCGACCCAACTGTACAGCGCCTTGGGATGTCCTCCCGACGTGAAAGGCGCTCTATAAATGCAATCTTGTTGTTGTTGTAGCTCTTTCAAAGAGTGGCATAGGGACGATGGGCTGAATGGCCTCCTTCTGTGCTGTAAGATTCTATGATTCTATGAAGCCAAACAGTCCAGGAAAGCTGCTTATTAAATACCAACTGTCCATGCTGCAGTGATACAATACACTGATATTTTGCATAATTTTGATGCATAAAACTACACTGGGGTTCAGTGTAGTTTTATGCATCAAAATTATGCAAAATATGTAATAGTGTAACTATGATGTGAAATAGGCCAACTGATATTAATTTGGAGTACAACAAATAATAATAATCCTTGCATTTGATATAGTGCTTTTCACGTCTTCTAGACATCTCAAAGCGCTTAACAGAATAGACTGTAAAGTGAATTGACTGTATATTTGTGGGAGAAAACAAGGCCACATCCAAGGAATGATGAATGTGTGTAATGTAATTCCAGTTTGACGGCAGTCATTGCAAAGCCACATTTTTAACCTTAACAAAATTAAGTTTAAAAGTTCCTGAGTTGTCCCTTAGGAATCTTATCATGATCAGAGAGTTGGCTGTGCCTCCAGCTCTTGAATAACTTAAAACATAATTTAAACAGCAGGGTTAGCAGAGCTGTATACATGCACCCAGTTACACACTTGGGCAGCATTGATTGAGATCTGATGCAATATCTGCAGTTTCCAGGCAGCATGTTGAACCAACAACAATAACAAATTGCATTTATATAGCACCTTTCATCTCACAAGGTACTGGACAGTCAAGGGTTTTCGCCCGAGCTGAGAGCTGAAATCAAGAGCGGTGAAGGGCAAGAGCGGTGGGGATGGGGGAGGGTTGACCAAAGATATGGTCAAATAGGAAGGTCTTGAGACAGCCCTTGAAGGAGACAAGAAAGTGGGTGAGGCAAAGGGTCTCCTGGGATGTAATTCCAGAGGGTAGGGGCAGAGTGGCAGAAGGCCCGCCTGCCAATAGTGGGGCAAGCGAGGTGAGGGACGTGTAGCAGTCCGGAGCCCAACTCTATTCTAACTGAAGTGGAGAGCCAGAGGGAGGATGGGTATGATTGGCTCACAGGTGTAGGAGAGGATAAGTGCTGCAGAGTACTGACTAATCTGTAGTTAGGAAGTCTGGCAAGCAAGGAGTTAGCATCGTCAATCCTGGATGAATTGGCAGCCTGAGGGGAGAGATAATGTTGGAGGCGGGCAATGTTGCGGAGGTGGTGGAAGGTAGAATGGGTCATGGCATGGATGTGGGGTTTAAAGAGGTGGAGAGTGCATCAATGAATAGTGATGCTGTCAGTGCCTGAGATGAGGAGGCACTGACGGAAGCCAAGCAGGAGGGCCTCGGTTTGTCAACAATCAACTGAAGAGAATTGGCTCTCATCCAGGACTTGATGTCGGACAGACAATTTTTATCAGGACAGCAGTTGTCCTGAGGTCGAGGGTGGAAGCAGAGATAGAGGTGGGCATCATCTGCATACAGGTGGAAGTTAACCTCATGCCTGCGGATGGCATGAGGATTGCCTATGGCATAAGGGTTATCACTTAGATACTGTGGGGCTGCTTATTTGTCCAAGAACGATCTCACCACAGGAGCCCCAAATGAGTTTACTACCACTTTCTGGTTTGTCACTCTTGCATAAAAGTTTTCCCCGGTTTCATTCAGGACCCAACTAAAACAGTCTTGTCCTTTCCTATTAGCTGTGAAAACATCCATCACTGATGTTTCACACATAATATATATATTTTTAAATGTACTCCCACATTTAAAATGGAAAGTTAGCAGAGAAGGGAGCAGAACAAAGATAAATGATAAAAAAGGGAATAGCTTCACTATTAGAAAAGGGTTAGAATATTTGGAGCATGATATATATATATATAAATGGGCCATGGAGTCTGTGTAGGCTCTCAGAGCAAGTTGTAGTTTCAATCTCACTGTCCTGGCCTTTCCCCCTTGTATGAAGCTATTAGGAGATTTTGGGGGTTGGATTTGTGGATGTCAGGTGAGGACAGGCTTGCACTAATTTATATAATAATCCTTGCATTTGATATTGTACCTTATCACCTGGGTCAATAGAAAATTACGGCCGCACTTTTCGTTGGAATCCACCACAAAGGCCATTCTCCGCTCCAAACCCACTATAAATGTAGTTTCTGCCCCCCGGGCCTCTATGTGCTTGTGAGTGTCTCTATGTGACTGTGTTTCTCTCTGTGTTTGTGAGTCTCTCTTTCTGTTTGCAAGTGTCACACATGTATTTGTGTGTGTCTCTCTCACTATGTGTTTGTGAGTGTCTTTATGTGTTTGTCTCTCTATATGTTTGTGAGAGTCTGTGTGAGTCTCTGTGTGTGTGAGTGTCCCTGTGAGGTCTCTCTCTCCCCTGTATGTGTTTGTGAGTGTCTCTATGTGAGTGTGTCTCTCTATCCTTCGTATGTGTGTGTGTTTGTGAGTGCCTCTATGTGAGTGTGTCTCCCCCCTCTGTATGTGGGTTTGTGAGTGTGTGTCTCTCTTTTCTGTATGTGTGTGTTTGTGAGCGTCTGTGTTAGTGTGTCTCTCTCCTCTGTATGTGTATTGGTTTATGAGTGTGCATGTGTGTCTCTGTTTGTGTATGTGTGTGTATGTCTCTTTGTGTCTATGAGTGTATGTTTATGTATGTGTTTGTAAGTGTGTCTGTGTGAGTGGAGTGTCTCGAGCGCTCTGAGATGCTGCCCTGCGTGGAGGGCGCCATATAGTTGTTGTGTGTGTCTCTTCTATACGTGTGTGTGTTTATGAGTGTCTCCTTTTTGTCTATGAGTTTGTGTCTCTCTCTGTGAGAATGCCTCACTGGTGTTTACTCCCCGCCCCCACGCACCCCCCCAAAAAAAATGGGCCACCCAGTTTTTGTTAAAGAATTAATAATTATACATTTTTTTGCAACAATCTAATACGTTTTATTTCCTCATGTTTAGTTTTAATCAATAAAGTGAAAAAATGTAGGTTGGCAGTAAAACGTACCTCAATAGCACCAATCAACTCCTTGCAATTTCCTGTAAAATGTGCCAAAAATTTCCCTGCAATTTCCAGAAAAATTGAAAATTTCCCCGCAATGTGTACCAAATATTTCCCAATTTTCTATTGGCCCAGCTTATCACCCTGTTGAGACGTCTCAAAACGCTTCACATGATATATACTGTAAAGTGGACTGACTGTGCAATTTGCGGACGAAACACACCCACAATATGTCGTTCGTCCATCCGTCCTCCCCCGAGATAAGAAGCTTGAAGACACTCACTATCTATGCCAGCACATGAGCAGTACCAAGCACAAGCCACTGCCTTCGGAAGGTGGGGGAGGGTGTAGAGACAGAAGGGACTGAAAGCTGTATAACGTTGTCGAAGATTTTTAATTATCTGATACGCAAGTGACTACAGCAATGCTAACTAAACATATCTCCCCCCACCCACCCCCGCGTTACCCTTTCTCTAAACCTAGCAACAGTTTCCACGCAACAACATAAAGATCAAGTATCACCTCTCAGAGGAGGTTCAAAGGGGTCATTGCTTTTGCATTTCAAACATTTAAACCAACTTGCCACATTGACCTTTCAGCCAGGACTCACTTGTGTCTGAGCCTGAAGTGGACACAGCTGCGCTTTGTTTGCTCAACTGAGATAAAACGTTCCAGAGAAGAACAAGGATTTAATCATTACAAAATCTGCATGAAATATTTTCGTTACACAGTCAAGTCACTTTATTGTATATTCTGTGATGCGCTTGGAGATGTCACAATGATGTGATAGGTGATATGACAAATGCAAGGATTATTATTGATTATTATTATTATTTTTATTATTATGCCAAACGCTCATTATTTGCTTTCAAACAATCTCTGATTGCTCTCTCCAGAGGAGCCAGAGCAACTGCACACAGATTCTCGGTTTACCATTTTATGTGAAATGAGAGATCGTGAATGCAATTCGCTGTTTTTTTTAAAAAATTCTCATTACAGTTATACAGCTTTACAAACCCATGAATCGCAAACATGAGAGAAACCTATGTCCACAATGAGTATTGGATTTATTATAACAATAGACCTTGTGTTTGATAGTCAACAACAACAAATTACATGCGTACAGCGCCGTTCACATCAGGAGACCAACCCAAGACGCTGGCAATGTAACACCTTCTCACATCTTCTGGACATTTCACAGAATATACTGTGTCAGTGTATTGACTGTGTATTTTGTGTGGGGTGAATAGGATTAACCACGGTTCATTACATTTCAAACGCCACTGGCTCAATATCCCTTCACATTTTGTCCAAATCAGCGACACTTCTAAAGACATGAAGCATTTTCACATCGACTTGACTTGCCAATAGCTTTTTATTTGTTTTGATTTTTGCCACCCCCCCCCTCGAAAGCAAGTCTCCGGGAGCGCCAGATGTGTGCACTGAGCAGTGGAAATTTCCACTGAAACTTACAGCCCAAACAACAGCTGCAGCGTGCAAGTCAGCACATGAATCTGAGTGGATTCATTCATGGTCAGACCGCACTGGGCAGAGCCCCAGCTCTAACCTACCTGCCCTGGTATGAAAAGGTCGTGTCCACTGAACCCTCTTCCACCCACTGACGGTCCTGGGAAGGTTTTCCCTGAAGAGAAGCCCGGAAAAACGAAGGACAAAGCGAGCCATGGTTCAGGGTGAGCAGCCGATGTTTGGGTCCGATCAGCCCGTGCTCCTCAGCACTTCCCACTCGCTGCCTGACGTCAACTGCAGTCATTAGCATGTGTTACTATATTTGTCAGTGTGTGAAAGGGTAGAGAGGTTCCCCACTGCCTGCAAGGCAGCAGATTAGCCTGCCTGCCGTGTCTATTTTCATTGTAATAAAACATGCAGCATTGTGTTGCTTTGCGGCAAATGCTCTGGGCTTTATTGTTATTATTAATGACAATAACATGCTGCAGAGTAAATGCTAAAGCCTCGTATTACCCCCCCCCCCCCACCCCCAGCCCTTGCTCTCTGCTGTAGCACTGTCCTCCCAAAAAGCACGGTTTCGCCCTCAAAACACAAAATCGTTTTGCAATACATGTGGTGAAGCTCTTTGAGATGTCTCAATGATAATAATAATAATAATAATAATAATAAATCCTTGCATTTTATTTAGCATCTTAACAGGTCTTCGAGACGTTATAAAGTGCTTCAGGGAGCCAGTGGAGCCTGGCTAGAACTGGTGTGATTGGGGATACGGGGTTTAGTGCGGGTGAGTTTGCGGGCGGCAGAGTTTTGAATCAGTTGGATCCTGTGAATGGTGGAGCCGGGGAGACCGGCAAACAGGGTATTTGAGAAGTCCAGTCGGGAGGTGACGAGTTCATGGACGAATGTTTTGGCTGGGTCTGGGTTAAAGTACGATCGGAGGTGTGCAATGAGGTGGAGGAAGGCGGACCTGGTCAAGGACTGTATGTGGGGAAGGAAAGACAGCTGTGGGTCAAACCTGGCACCTAGGTTTGGAAAGTCTGAGGGATAGGCCGGGGAGGTTGAGGAGGTCAGAGTCGCAGGATAGAATACGTTGATAGAGCCGAAGAGTATGGCTTCCGTCTTGTCAACATTCAATTGTAGGAAGTTTTCACTCATCCAGGCCCTGATGTCTGCCAGACAAGCTAAGGGAACATTGGCGGACCTGGAGTCGCAGCTGGAGGGAGAAGGAGAAATAGATTTGTGTGTCATCTGCATGCATGTGGAAGTTTACCTGGTGTCTGCGTGCTTCAGCCACTGTGCCCGAAACTCTGGAACACTCTTCCTCTATCCCTCCGCCTTGCCCCTTCCTTCCCCTTCTTCAGGACGCTCCTGAACATCTTCCTCTTTGACCGTGCTTACGGTCATCTTCCCCCCTCCCCCCGGCTCAGTGTCATGTCCCCGCTACTCTCAAGCACACTGGGATGCTACCCTGCGTGAGGTGTCCTACGTAAATGCAAATTGTTGTTGATCATATAAAGTTCTAGCAGACAGAAAGTGGGAGATGTTGCTATGTAAGAGAAAGTTAATTTGAAGAATGGATGCAACTTCGTCTCTCGTGAATAATGTAATATTTTTCATTTATTTCCATTCACAAATAGTAGGCCATACTGCTAAGGTATTACTTCAGAAGAGAGCAAAAGAAAGATCCCTCTGCTAAAAATAATGTCTCGTTGGATAGTTAACTCAAAGCACGGATGTTAAATGAATCAGAAGCAGAAAACACTAGAAACATATCATAAATCAATCAGCACCTGAAAAGAAAAGTCAGGTTAATGTTCAGTGTGAACTGAATGACTAATGTGTGATTATCTTTCTTGAAGGGGAAGGTAAGTTCGCAGAAGGATGGCAGATGCAATTCAATGAGGTCAAATGCAAGTTAATGCATTTTGACTGTAAAATAGCAGTTGGAAATATTTATTATATGAAAAACAAAACAATACAATCCTTGTAACACAAATATGTTTTAATTTGCCTCTTTTATTTAGACATACATTAAAGTCTTGTTAGTATAAATAGACATGTTATATTGTGTTTAGCACATATATTAACCAATGAATAAGACAACACATAATACAGTATGAAACTTGGTAGAACTAGACATATTATTCAGAATGTTGGCACAAACACCGTAATGATAAAGCTGTTCACATTGCTGGAAGAAGAGTAGCTAAAGTTATCCTCTTTACAAACAAAAGCTGTGGGAGTTTTGAGCCTTGGCATATGTACTGCTATTCTGTGGGAAAGCACATTTGTCACCCAATCTGTTGCCGAATTCTGTCTGTATCATCATTTGTAATTTATTTAGTGATATTTTATTAAAAATATATACTTTGTCCTTGTTTAAAGGAGAATTCTTTAAATAATTCCCAGTCAAAAAAAGAGGAAATAGCTTTTTCCCTGGATATTAAAAATCCAATTGGAGCCTTATGTCAATATGTTTGACCGACGTGAGATAAGGAGTGTCCTGATTGGAAGTAATCCAAACAAGATTGTGTTTACTAACTGCTAAATGGCACCAAGAAACAGCGTCTTTGCCAAGGTGGATATTACATTCTGGTGGAATATTAACACACAATACACCTGCACTCCCAGTCTCAGAAAAACTGCACACAAACTGGTAGAGGCAAATGTTCCTCCTTTGCTACTCCCTTTCTTACAACATTGAGCAGGTTGGTTCCACTTATCATGCCTACAGGTCTTTATCTGATAAATATCCAGGAAAATGAAAACCTCCTGCAGTTTTGCATGCCAATCATTGAGGCACTATCAATCCCTAGGATGGAGAAGATACACCAAGACATCAATTGTAATTAAAATTAAACCCACACAGCATTAAGGAGGTAACTGCAGGTTTCCAAAGTGATTCTGCACCAAATTTGGAGCTCCTTCACACATCCTGCCTTCTCCTAGTCCAAGGTTTTATATCTGCAAGGGTTGGTCCCAATTAACACAGCTAATTGCCTCTCTCTACTGTATTTCTCTATACTGCAGTTAGGGCAACTATTCTGGAAGATGAGATCAAATGGCCAAAGGGCATTCATCCTCCAAATCTTTCTTTATGATAAATTTAGCACTTAATCTTGGCCTGGCTGTAATTTGGTATCTACAATTACTTATAACATCACACCCTCCAACTGGACTTTTGTGCTTGTAATCCCTCCAATGTTTTTTGTCATCTGTGTTTTTAATACAAAGTCCCATTCCAAATGCAGAACATAAAGCTCTATAGGGATAGTGAAAGGGCCAAACACACATTATGTGTGAGATTGGCCCAGTTAATTGCATTATTGCCTCTTTTGGTTGAGAAAATTGTGGGTGCCCTGCATTGGGAATTAGAGCTCATAGTTCAGTGCTGGGGGAGTGCTGCATTGTCAGAGGTGCTGTTCTCTAGATGAAATGCCAACAATCCTCCAGATGAATTAGTTGTTCACTTTATGGCTGTTTGTATGATCTGCTACATGCAAATCACCTGCCATGTTTGTCTACAAATACACAGACGCTACACTTGATAGCAATTTCCGGTGTAGCACATTGAGATGTTTGATTTTATAGGTGTTTCATCAAATGCAAAGATTATTATTATATCCCAATATCTGGACATTGAAAGTGATCTGTGTGCTGTTATCACTTTATTTCCAATCTCATCACCCCAAATTTATTTTATTGACATTGAATTTATATTATTTTATTTTATGCTTCACAATTTTCTAAATATTGCTGAAAAACTTTACATTTATGTGTGTTTAATTTGCTATCTATTTCCACTTCTGCTCTTCTCTATCTATATTTAGATCCTACTTTAAATCCTACCTCTTTAACCATGTCTGGCAATCTCCCCCATCTATTTTCTTCCTTCCTCGGCCACCACTCTCAGACACTGTGCTACATGAAGGATGCTAACGGATTGCGAGCTCTTGTTATCTATGTGTTGAATTCAATAACCAATCCAAAGCATTTTACAAACCTTTTGTTGCATCTACTGTGTCTATTGTGTCATCTATTTTTGCCTTCAGCCAATTTGGCCATTTTACAGTTGGTTTGGGCATCCAGATCATTTATGTATTTATGAGAAACAATAAAGGTTCAAGCTCTGAACTTTGACCTGCTGAAACCTTCCCTATAATGTGATATTACCTCCTTTTCAAGTACTTTATTTTTTGATCTACTTTTTTTTAAAACTAATTATATCCCACAGATTCCTGTGGCTTTATAGTTTAATTAAAATTCTTTCATGTAGAACTATGTCAAAAGTTGTCTGAATGTCTAAATAAATGGTATCAGAGGGACTGCAATTAATTACTTGATCTGTGACATCCTGAAAAAAATTAAGGAGATTTGCCAGGCAAGATCTTCGCTTTCTCTAAATCCACCCTGGCTGCCTCAGATTACCGTATACTGGAGGAAAACTTTAATAAATTAATAAGAAACAGCCATTGTGCATTTAGAAAGGAAAAGTTATGTCTAACAAATGTGACGTGCTAACAGCCGTTTCTGTTGGATCTTAATGGTCCGATTGCTCAAGCTGCAGATGGTGAAGCAGTGTGAGTGACCTCTTGACAAATTTTCAGAAAACAAATCCATGCATCAGTCTCTACAGTAATCTCCAGCACAACACTGGCAAGAAAGAGAATCAGGCAGAAGTCATAAGCGGTAATAATCTTAAATTCTGGATGTGAGAAGCTTGACTGATGCAAATAACTTTCATTATGCACAAGCAGCAAAGATCAAAAATGCCACTGAATGCAGGTACTTATTTTCAACTATTGCACTCAAAGTACTCATTAAAGAGTTTCAAAAGTTCATAGTCACAGTAAGAACTACCCCAGGCAGCAGGTGCTATATGATGGCACTCACCAGTTGCTGAGATAAGTTTCAATTGGCTGTCCCCGTGTTAATCTACGTATGACATTAATGGAGGCCTCTTCAAGATACCTGTATCATGGTTGCTGTATGTTTTCTCCAACAACAACTTGCATTTATATGGTGCACTTCATGTCTTTGAGCGCTGTACAATAGTGAGGTTGGAGACCGAGGGGGAAGGGGGAGTATTGACTTTAGTTGCAGTTGAAGAGGTAAGTCTTAAAGAGGGATTAAAAGATAGATAACGAGGGTGAGGAGGAGAAATTAAGGCAGGGAGTGTAGTGATTGAAGGCACAGCCATCGATATGATACAGATGGATCAGGGTACATGCAACATGCTTGTGTCTGCTGAATAAAGCAACTGGAGTGGGATACATGCAGGTCAGAGGGATAGGATCAAAATTCTTATAGCAGCAATGTGATCAGCCATGAAAGATTCCTTTATTTTGTCTTCATTGTCTGTATGTTGCAAAACAGCAGAGACACTACCATGTAATTGCTCTTATAGAACCGCAATGGTGGTGAGGTGGGTGACCATCACAAGCCAGAAAATGCTCAGTAACAAATCAGACAATTATGATTGCATTTCATTTAGCTTTTCACAGACTAGCAGTTTTCATGTCAGGGGGATGCCTCAAAGCACTTCACAGGATTAACTGTAAAGTGTAGTAATTATGTATTTTGTAGGGGAACACAAGAGCTAACTCTAAAGTGTAGTGACTGTGTGTTTTGTGAGCAAAATATAGATTATATACTTCACAATAGAATTCTGTGAAACTTTAGGACGTTTAGATAAACTGATAAACTACTATCCCAAAGGCACACGGTATTATTATTATGATGATGTGTGAAATAAAAGTGCTAATTTACAGAGTATTCCTACTATCAATGGCATGTGTTTTCCTTCCTAATCCCAAACCAGCCAATACCCCTTGGTCTAATATCAGGGGTCCTACCTTGTGCTTCTTCAGCAGAGCCAGACAAAGTTGGAAATTTAGATTGTTTTTATTTGGTACACCTGCAAGCAGTATACATTTGCTGCCAACTTTGCTTGAGTTATGCAGTTTAGTCCCAGTGTTGGGGCATAAGTCGAAGTTTGCCTTGAGTCAAATCAACACCAATTTCCATGACATTGGAGATAGATGCCTCATTGCCATTGCACCTGGTGCTTCTGATCCTCAAGAGGCATCTCTGACACCACCTGAATGCTACTGATTGAGCGAGACTTCTGTGCATAGGAATGTGTTGAGTGACATATTAGACATATCAAGATATGGCTAGATTGCTGATATATTTCTCTGTAAGGTAAGTTGGTAAATTTTTGGAGATAAATTCAAATCCTGCCTGTATTGCTTTCTCTAAAGTACTGTCACCCTATATGTTTTGGAGTAGCCTGCCCTAAGACCTTACTTTTTGACTGTGTTTTTGGTGAATTCTCCCAACTCTTTCCTCAGCTCTTCCATCTTAGCTTGGGTACCCAGATGTTTCTGTGAAGCGCTTTGAGATGTGCTCCCAATATGAAAGGTAGTATATAATATAATAGTTAGAAATTTGACCACATTTTTTCTTTAAATATAATTTTCCTCCTCAGCAGAAATCAAGTGAGAATTTAACAAGTCTAGAATTTTCCCATATTTGAAACTAAATGAAGAAATTTGGAATTGAGGTACAATTAAGCCCAAAACAGTATATAATATCAGATGAAACAATTGTAGTTTTTAAAAAAAACTCAGCAACAGGAGTTTAATAAAAGTTTTTCAATCAGTTATGATTCTGTATGTTCACAATGTTGTTTTATTATTTCAACTAAAATGTAATGTAAAGGAAATTAAATTCTTACAATACACATATACAATCTGCTGAGAATGTTAACAAGATATCTGCTAAATCTTTGTCTAAATAAAACTAAGCAACATAATTTTGCAATAGTCAATGAGCTAAAACATCCCATTTCAGAAACAAATCAATTAACCCAATGACAGTAAAAATAATGTTTTAGGTGATAAAATACATAAATTAGATAAACTTTAACAGTGGCTTACATTATAAGTTGATACCTGCAGTTTTTTGGTAACAATCTTAAGATGTAGTTATGTTTTTGAAGTTCTGGAAACTGGACATTTTGCTATTTATTTTATTCAAAATGACACAGACATTGACACTTGCTTCTGATCAACTTGATTCTTGCCACAGAACTGTTTACAACCACAAAAGAGTTGATAGTGTACTGCTTCTGCACTGTCAGACTTCATTAGATTCCCTACTTTGTGCATGAGGTCCACTACATATTCCTTTGGTGGAGTGAGGGGCCCATGTACATCTTGCGGAGGATCATCAATTAATAGGACATGGTTCCAAGCTCTATTGTACGCTCCACGAACCAAACTGCTACTGATCCCAATTCTATCTCCTAAAGCCTAAAGAAAAAAAAGGTTATATCACAAATCACTAATGTTCATTAAATGTATATAAATTACTAATAGTAAAAAAAGGTTATATCACAAATTACCAATGTTCGTTAAATGCACATAAATTACTAATGTTCAATTAAATGTATATAAATGAACAATTTAATGTAATTGGTTGCTTTAAAAAACAACCTTGAATAGAAGAGCTCTGTGGTAGAAGATTCCTTTCTGAATATTTCCAATAGGAATGACGTTAGATTTTAATTCAAATTTAAGTTCACCAATGTGAAGTTCCCAGGGAAAGTCATAGAGGTTGTCCTTGTCTATAGATCCACCCATCTTTTCTGCAACAAACCTAGGATTTAATATTAAACAGAATAAACATTATAGAATTACAAAATCATGCAGACTGTGAGAGAAAGAGAACCAAACTTTAAGTTAAATCAAGATCACAAGATTGGTTTAGATGAAGAAGGCCCTTGGCCAATTTGACCTCATCCTTCCACAAACCCAATCACAGCTTCAAACTGCTTTTTAAAAGAGTCCATCATCCTCAGCTCAATTTGGCAATTTTATACTAGTCATTAATTAATAATATAATAATCCTTATATTTGATATAGCACCTTATTGCGTCATCAAGACATCTCAAAGGCTTCACAAGAAGTATAGTAAAGTGATGTGACTATATCTATTTTTGGGGTAAAGCCAGTAGCCAATTTGCTCATGGCAATGTCCCACGAACAGCCATGGAGTGAATGATCAATTTTATTTGGGGTTTGTTGGTCAGGACGCTAGGAGAAACTCCTTTCTCTTTTGGAATCTCTTTTGGAATTCTCTTTAACATCCACCTAGACAGACAGTTAGGACCTCAGTTTAATGAATCATTCAAAGGAGGGAACCACTAGCAATGCAGTAAATCCCCAGCATTGCACTGGAGTAACAGCATAGAATAGATGGGTTCTAAGTACGTAGGGCTTAAACCGACAACCTCTACCCAGAGGCAAGAAAACTATTAATTGAGCCAGGCTGACACACTGAGTAAAGAAAACCTTCCTGGTATCTGTCCTGAAATTGCCTTTTACAACTCTAAACGTTTATCTTCTTGTTCTATTGTCTTGATGCACCCACATGCAATGATCTGGGTTTGCTTTATCAATCCGACTTTAAAATGTTATAGACCTCTATGAGGTCCCCTCTGAGACATCGTCTATTAAGACTGAAGAGCCCAATGTGTGAGCTCATTGCTCATTCCTTAATGCTGGGGATATCATCCTTTGCACCGTCTCAGAAGCTTGGGTTGCAGTGACCAGAAATGTATATAAGACTCTAGTGGTCTGACCAGAGCACAAAACAACTATACGTCATATGACACAGGGGTCTAAACACAACTGATTTAGCACTATAACCCAGCATCCAGTTTGCCTTGTTTTTTGCTGCCTCATACTGATCCCAGGAAGTTTTTCTTTATTCAGATGGTAATTAACAACTGGAAGAGGTTCTCAGGAATGGTAGTTGAGGCCAGGACATTGGACTCATTTAAAACAACAGTTTGATGCTCTGATGGGAGGCCAGTAGGGTTAGTATTCTGGAGAGATGAGATCAAATGAGCCGAAGGGCATTCTTCAATCCAAATCGATCACAAGATTTTTTGATACTTTAGGGCCAATGAGAGAGAGAGAAAATGTAGCTCATAATTGTTTAGACCAGTTGTACAGATACCAATGTTAAAATAAGGAAATGCAGGGTTGAATGGCTCAACATTCCTTTTACATCTAGGTCTTGTGTTCAATCTATTCCAGACTGATAAGTTAAAAGACTCTGGTGTAAAGATTCCTGAGTGAAACAAATTTGCCAATCAAAACATGTGTGGCATACTGAAGAGACCTATGCATAATTTGGTGGGGAAAATAAAACTTTGCTACACCACTTATCTGGTTTATACTTCAGCCGGTGTTAAAGTGATCTCTTGAATACCTCTCATATTGCTGAGAATAATAAATAATTATAATAAATAATTCATCATTTTATAATAATTATATAATAAATAATTTCAGCGCCTTGGGACGTCCTTCCGACATGAAAGGTGCTAGATATATATATTGATATAGGCTGATTGGTTAAAAGACTCTCGTGTAAGGATTCCTGAGTGAAACAATATATATATATATCTATATACCAATGCAATTTTGTTGTTTGTTGCTGTTGTAATGAAGTGTGTATAAATTATGCCCCTACTACTTAATTCTGATCATGGGTGTGTGGAAGTGGTAAGTTGCCATTTGGGTGGAATGCCAGGGAGCAGTCACCAGTACCAATTTACAATGAGGCTAATCCCCTGTGTGGACTGACCCCTTTGGGAAAGGTAAAGAAAAATTGTTAGCCATACATGCCATTACAATATTGTAAAATCTATACAAAGCCCAATAAGATGTTTTCCTTTATATGATAACCTCAGGAAACAAAGCAACAACAAAGTTACATTTGTATAGCACCTTTCAAGTCAGGAGAATGTCCCAAAGCACTGGACAGTCAGTGCTTTGCACCTAAGCTAGGGATCGGGACCAGGAAGGGTGGAGGGCATGGGGGGAAGGAGAGTGACCAAAGGCACGATCGAAGGGGAGGCTCTTGAGACGGGCGGAGGGACTGTGAGATGGAGTTCCAGAGGGTGGGGGCAGAGTGGTAGAAAGCCCGCCCGCCAATGGTAGGGTGGGCGAGGCGGGGGACGTGAAGCAGGCCAGAGCTGGCTGAGCAGAGGGAGCAGGCAGATTGGTAGGGGTTTGGGAGGTTGCAGAGCGAGCGGGGAGCAAGACCACAGAGGGCTTTGAAGGTGAGAACCTGGATCTTGAATTGTATCCTCTGTGTGATGGTGAAGCAGAGTGGGTTATAATAATCTGCGGAAGGGAAAGGCTTTTGGTCAAATGATTTTTCTTCATTTCTAATGGTCTTAAAACGTTCTATAGAAATGTTTTTGATCCAGATTTAAGGTACAGTATGCTAGTGTCTTTCTTGCAATACTCAAAAACTGCCACTGGGTGGAGAATGTTACTTTTAGTCTAATTTGTAATTAATTTCCTAGAACTATATGTAAAAAAATCAACATAATAAGGTGCTATATCAATTGCAAAGATTATTTATTATATATAACAAAGTGTATTATATATATTCATATATGCATATATGTCATCAAACATTTCCAAGGATATTTCCCGAGACAAGGAATTTACAAGAATTTGCATTTATATAGCACCTTTCACATCGGGAGGATAACTCAAAACGTTTTGAACAGCTGATTGGGAGCCCCAGCTAGGGGGAAGTTAAGGAGGGGCATTCCAAAAGATAGGTCTTTAAAGGCAGGGAGGGAGTGGGTAAAGTAGAGGGTCTGTAGGATGGATTTTCCAGAGAGCATGGGACAGAATGGCTGAAGGCTTATCCACCAGTGGTGGGGCTTATTGGGTGAGGCACAAGAAGCAGGTTGGTGGTTGCTGAGAGGAGAGAGCAGCTGCAGCATTAGAATTGCAAGAGATCACAGGGGTAGGGTAATGTAAGGCTGTGGAGGCATTTGAAAATAAGAACGAGAATCTTAAATTTAATCCGCTGGGGGATGGGAAGTCAGTGAAGCTGAAAGAGAATGGGGGTGTTGAGCCCGCTGACAATGTTAAAGCTTCACAAATTGAAATTGACCAATTCAAGATCAGAGAATTTTTTTTTAGAACGTTTCTCACTTCTTCACTTGACAAGAAGAAAAATAATTACTTCAGAAGAAAAATCAAACTGAAGATCGGTGTGTATTTAGGATAGTGTGAGAGAAATATAAATTCTGTATGATTCCTCAAGGACCAATAACTATGTGGATGAGAGAAAGAATGCCATTGGTCTACAAATGGGCAACTGTTTAGCAACCAGATGTATTTTTCTGATTAAAAAAAGTCAATCATTTGTTGGCAGATAATAATAATAATCTTTGCATTTGATATAGGGTTTTATCACATCGTTGGGTATTTACATGTGATGACTGCATCTTAGAAGTACAGAATTACTGTAATTTTCAGAATCTATACCTTTAAAATACACTTTTCTGGCTTGTGAAATATTTTAAAATTCTGAAAGAAATTCGGAGAGCAAAAGAATACCTACATTGCAAGGGATATAACTTGTTCTCGGCTGTTATGCATTGGCAGAATGCTTTTTGCAACCTCACTGACATAAGCATCAAACATTGGATCATAAGGTGGTTCCCATGGTTTGTCTTTGTCTTCCACATCAGGTTTCATTTCCGCTTGTTCTTCCTCTTTCATTTTTTCCTCTTCTCGTCTTCCTCGACTTCTTCCTTTACTGCATATAAAGTAGAGACTTTAATAACAACAACTTGCATTTATATAGCACCCTTCACGTGGGGTATCGTCCCGGAGTGCTTAATAACTGCAGAACTATTGCATTCAGCTAAAACTACAAGATTCACCACAACAATACTTATTAACCCGTGGACAAGTGTTTCTAATGTATTCATTAAAAATACAGTAAATCTTCACTGTTTTAACTCAGTATCAATGATTTTGCAAAAATAAGGATATGAAAAATGGCCTAATTTTCCATATCGATATCTCAATTACAAGTTTGAACTGTGTGATTTAAAAATAGCTATTTCATTGTAATAAAAAAACTACAAATTATAGATAATGTGTAAACAATGTGTATATATTATTTTTCACAAGCTGCTGGAAAATACTTTGTTGCCATGCAATGTTCCTTGTTATTCTCAAATATCACAGCATTCATTCATTCCAGATCCAATCAGCAAAGTTATCAAATTCTGTTACCTTCCAAAGCGAACCATCACCCACAACCTCAATCCCTGGTAAGAAAATGTTGTGTGATGTTATGTATTCTATTCTGATGATTCGAAGAATATACAGAAGAATGAACTTTTTACATTTGGTATCCATCAATCATTGTCAAATCAGACACAAATTTAAATAGGTTTACTCCATCTAGGATTCAAACCCAACATTTTTGTCACAAATTCAATGCTCAACTGACTGAACTCTCCAGTAAGTTATTGAATACAGTTTGGTTTCAAAACAGTTTGTATGAAAAAACTAGGAATGGAAATTTGGGTGGGCATCAACGTGTGGTGGACAGGAAATGACCAAAGGTTTCCATTCCTAGCCACACCAGCTGCTCACGAAGACCAGCAAGCTGATGTGCTATGGGAAGAGAGAAAAGATGGGAACGAGAGATATGTGACAGCACGGAGAGTGACGGTTGGCCTGGGTGCTAATTGGTGCCTTGACCCACCCATGGCTATGCCCCTGATATGGAAACTGTTAATCTCCACCCACGTTATGGAAAAAGTAAAGATAAAAAGAACCCACACTGACCCAGTTTTGGCACTGCTTTTACTAGAAGCTGCCCGTAACGGGGAAATCTCCAGCTGCTTTTCATCAGTGGGCAACGTATGCTGAAGGCTGCAAAATAAGACAATAAATCAGCTTAATTTTTAAGGCAGTCTTTTTAATTTACTTGAAATAAAGGAGAAGTCCTCCTGAGATGAAATGCATGATACCAAAATTAAGGATTATTATTAAAAATGATTTTCAATCTCAGAATTGAAGAATTTGTAACAGTATAAGCATAAAATGGGGAAAAAGCAACACTTTGATAGTTTGAGATTTCTTTTATTTGGGCAAAAATTAAAATGAGGTTATGCAGTGGGGCAATATAAAGCACTCCAATCATCTTTCAAATGTCATAATTTAAATACTGCATTTCTTTTCTTATTCATTTTGAATTCCGTGGATACCGCCAATTTCAGGTCTATTCCCCTACCTCCCTGTTCTATTGCTGTAAGTTTGGGGTATGTTGTGTAACTGTTCCAGAAATTGTCATTTAGGTGTATAACAGAGACTAATTTAGAAACTTCAAGGTTGAAATTATATTCCAATGGCAAATTGAATGGTGCCTAGTTCAAAGACCGAACCTCCTTTAACAAGTTCGCTGAAGCAGAGCTGAACAACATTAATGAGGACAAAGTTTTACACAAATGTTTCCAACACAGAATGTTGCCTCTTATCAGCAATTCTAAAGCAAGGATAACTGGGTGACAAAGAAAGATTACAGGTAAAAATGTAATAATAATAATATTTACAAAAGTTAAAAGGATGTCCCAGATTGCTTCACAGTATATATTGTAAAGTGAGGTAATGTATTTTGTGTAGGCTGAGAATACAGGTACTACCGGTAAGATTACAGTTGTGACTATTTTTTCCAGATTATAGAATATTTAAATAGAATTTTCGTGTAACGTCATTTTGGTTAGTTCATGCTAAATGGAAAGGAAACAATAGTGCTTTGGTAAGAGCCCGACATGTTATCGCCAGATTTACTTCTTGAGATCAGGATCTTAACAACACTGGAAACATGACATATTAATGCATGTGACTAATGAGTAAACTACATAAGACAAAGGGCACCATCCAGCTATAAACCCTTTAGGAAGGTACTGAGTGGTAAATAACTAAATACATGTGAATAAAAAATTGTTAACTTACAACTCTACTTTTTTGGCATTAATTAGCAGTATTGGCCTCTGCTGGTTCAATTCCTGCTTGCTCAATTCATCAAGATTCAAAATCTTTATGTTTGCCTTTACCTAGAGACAACAGAGATCCCAATGTCACCTCAAATAGCAGATCCATTGTAGAAAATGTAACTGCATTTTTTGGAGAATTGTAAATTTTTCCACATTATTACTTTTCATACAACAACAACAAAATTATATTTGTATAGCGCCTTTCATGTCAGGAGAATGTCCCATGGTGCTGGACAATCAGTGTGAGTGGCGTGAGACAGTGTCAGAGCCAGGCGATGTTGCAAAGATGGGGGAAGGCAGAGCAGGACATGACACAGATGTGGGGTAGGAAAGGATAGTTGCGGGTCAAACAAGATGCCCAGGTTCCGGACTGGCTTAGTAAGGTGGAATGTGCATCCGTGGATGGTGATGCTGTCAGTGGCTGAGGTGCGGACGCACTGACAGGAGCCAATCAGGAGGGCCTCAGTCTTGTTGGCATTCAAATCTCATCCAGGACTTGATGTCTGACAGACGTTCTGTCAGGACAGCAGTGGTTGAGGGATTTGAAGGTGGAAGCATAGAGATAGAGTTGGGTGTCATCTGCATATATGTGGAAATTAACCCCATTTCTCCGGATGATGTCAACAAGAGTGAGCATAAAGATATTGTAAAGGAGGGGACCAAGGACAGAGCCCTGAAAAACTCCTCATGAGACAGTATGGGGGCTGAAGGAGAAGCCACTTGTGGAGATGAAGTGGAGAAGGTGTGAGAGGTAGGATCTGAACCATTCAAGGACAGAACCATGAAGTTTGAGGTGAGAGGAGAGGTGGTGGAGGAGGATAGAGTGGTCAACAGTATTGAAGGCAGCAGAGGTCAAGGAGGACGAGGAGGTAGAGGGAGCCCTGGTCGCAGGTGGACAAAATGTAATTTGTCACTTTGATTAAAGCTATTTCTATGCTGTGAGCGGCATGGAAACCCGATTGGAGGGGTTCATGACGAGAATGGAGCGAGAGGTAGGAGCGAAGCTGGGAAGCAATGACTCGTTCCAGGACCTTGGAAAAGAAAGGGAGGTTGGAGATGGGGCAGTAGTTTGAGAGCAGGGATGGGACCAGGGAGGGTTTTTTAAGGATAGGTCGTTTTTGGAGGGGTGGGAATGGTACCAGTGGACAAGGGAGAGGATTATGATGTTTGTGAGTAGGAAGGCAAGGAGGTGGAATTGGGAGGTAAGGAGAGGGGTAGGTATAGGGTCGAGGGAGCAGGTGGTCGCTTTCATGTGGGTTATGGTGTGATGAGAGTGAAGGGAGAGACAGATTCGAAGGTGTCGAGGGAGGGCTAGGTAGGGGCGAGGTGCGAGGGGGAGATGGGGAATGGGTAGTGGTCGGAAGGGCAGAGGCAGCTGAGCGGATCCCCACAACTTTGGTTTTGAAGAAACTCCTCGCAGTTGGCATTGGAGGAGAAGATGGGCATGGCATGATAGGGTGAGCAGAGGAGCTGGTTGGTTATACAGATAAATGATAAAAGGATCAGAATTACGAATAGCAGTAATGTTTTACCAAAGAATTATCAATAACTTGCATGTCTATAGGGCCCTTCATGCTGGGGTAGTGTCTCGGAGCTCTAATTATATGCAAGATGAAAGCCTAAGGAATGAACTGCATTTAGATATACAGATGGTTTTATTAAACCAATTCGGAATTTCCCGTCTCTGTTTGCCACAGAGTACATTTTATGTTGACGATCAAAACCATCAATTTTCTCAATTGCTAGGATACCGGTTGGAAGAGGTGGGAATTTGGTAACTTCGCAAATTCTGAAATAATTAGGTCTGGGTTATTCTACTAGTATTATAAAACACATTCAGACCACGTCACATCTACAGACTAAAAATAATGTGATTGAAGTATTCCAGAAACCTTTTCAACTACACCCATGAGGTTGAACAGCCAGTCTACATATGAACTGAAATATAGCTGGGATTGAAAATCTGTCATGGAGGGGGGAAAGAGAAGGAAGTTTCTCCCGATGTCCTGGTCACCTATCCCAAACTAGTTGGACCGAATGGCTTGTTTCTGTGCCATATCATTTGTTGCATTCCTTTGTAAATCTGTAAAGTTGCTCACTGTGGTCATTATTATCATCATCAATGGTTGGTTATTGAGTGAGACATATTTTAAATTAAAGTGTCCTCTACCTGACCAAGATCATAGAATCCATCTGTGATAATATTATTGGATGACAAATAGCCAGTCAGAGCGTATTTGAGAGTTGGATTACTGTCGAGCAGCTTGTTCACAGCTGCCTCGCTAAAGCTGTTTTGGCGACTTGTGGACAGGTTTATTTCTTGCAGGATTTCCAAAGCACTATAGAATAAAAGGGAATAAGAGATTACATATTCATAAAGCAAAATGGAGAACTGCGAGTATCTCTGCAGTATCTTGATCCCAGCCTATAAAAAATTATATTTTTAAAAAATGTTAACATTTAAAACATCGGAATTATTTCTTAAGACAGATGTTAAGACTTCTCAGTAAAATGATAACAATACTAATCCTTGCATTTGATATCACTCCTTTCATGTCAGGAGGACATCCCAAAACTCTTCACAGGATATACCGTAAAATGCAGTGACTGTGTGATGCGTGGGCAAATTTAATAAATTTAGGAAGGATGAACTAAGTTAATGATTGAACAATTTTTTTTTCTGGCTCAATACTACTTCATGGATCTTACTCTGAACCAAATAGACATTACAAACATGCAATAAGGTGGATAAAATTCAGGTATGTTTTGAGAACAATGGACATTTTGTGTTCCATTTGATCTGGAATTGTCACAGAGCACAAAGGAGAAATGTACTATCCTCACCATTGTCATATTTCACTATAATGAGTGCAAATATTTTTAAAAGGATATTTGAAGCAACTGCAAATATTAAGATGAAATGAGCTGGATGATGTCAAGCACTATTTTTTTCTGTCAGATAGTCTAAAGAGAGAAAATAAAGTACAAATGAAGAAAATTGAGTTGTATCATTCACTTTGTCAGTCACACTGAGTCCATAAGATTCAGATTTACGCAAAGTAAATTTACAAATGATGCGGTAAGTTTTTCAGAGCACTTATATGAGTGCCTGACCCAACACATGAACACAATACAAATTTATATTGTGTCTTTCATGGCAGAAATAACAACAACAACTTGGATTTACGCCGGACGGCATCTCAGAATACTTCACAGTAATGGATTCCGGGGCTGAGCCAGGGGGAGGGGGAGGAAGGTGACCAAAGGCAAGGTCAGAAAGAAAGGTCGTAAGACACTTTACAGTACTGAAACAAAAACAGAAGTCACTCAGCAGGTCAGGCAGCATCTATGGAGAAAGGAAAGTGAGTCAAGGTTTCCACGACCCTTCGTCAGAACTGGGGCATGTTGGAAGGGAGAGGCTTTTAAGGGCTAACAGGGGGGAGGGAAGGCAAGGGAGAAAATGGATTAGAGGACAAGGGATGATGGGTCAAAGAGGTGTTAATGATGCAAAACAAAAAGGTGGAATTGCAACAAAACAGGCAGACCAGAGAGAGAAAAGGTGTGTCTGGGACCCAGATGATGTGGCAATGGTCACAGAAGAGGGGGAAGGGGTAGGTGAGCTATTATGGTCTGAAATTGTTGAAATCAATATTGAGGCCAGAGGGTTGTAAGGTCCCCAGCAGATAACCTACCCGACCTCCCCCTAAAACTCTCCGAACCCTTACGCAACCTTGGCATCAGGTTCGACCCCCAATTATCCTTCCTCCCCCACATCCGGTCCCTCACCAGCACCGCCTTCTTCCACGTCTGAAGCATTGCCCGTCTCCACCAATACCTCTCTCTGAAAGCCGCTGAAACCCTGGTCCATGCCTTTGTCACCTCTCGGCTGGACTATTCAAACGCCCTCCTTGCTGGCCTCCCCTCCACTACCATCCATAAAATCCAGATTTTTCAAAACTCTGCCACCCGCATTCTCACCCGCACCTAACTCCACTCCCCGATTCCCCAGTCCTCGCCAGATTGCACTGGCTCCTTGTCCCAGAGAGGATTGATTTCAAATGTCTTCAAATTCCTCTACTCCTCTGCAGCCCCTACCTCTCTGACCTCCTCTCTCCTCAAAACAGTGCCTGTTGCCTTCGTTCCTCCGGGTCTGACCTCCTCCTGGTCCCCTGAGTCCTCCGCTCCACCCTCGGTGCCCATGCCTTCAGCCACTATGCCCCAAGGCTCTGGAACTCCCTTCCTCACTCCCTTCTCTTCCTACTTTCAGGTCTCTGCTGAAGACCTTTCTTTTCGACCGCGCCTTTGGTCACTTTCCTCCCCCTCCCCCTGGCTCGGCCCCGGGATCCATTACTGTGAAGAGCTCTGAGACGACATCCGGCGTGGAGAGCGCTATATAAATCTAAGTTGTTGTTGTTTTAAATGAGGTGCTGTTCCTCGAACTTGAACTGTGGCTTATTGGAACAGGGTAGAAGACCATGGATGGAGATGTCAGAGTGGGAGGGCAAGTTGAAGTGGCAAGAAACTGGAAGCCTTTGTCTTCCTTGCACTGCCTCCCCCATCTCAGTTAGTCCTTAAAATCCTCTCCCTCCCACCATGCCCCAGTTCTGACGAAGGGTCATGGACCCAAAACGTTGACTCACTTTCCTTTCTCCATAGATGCTGCCTGACCTGCTGAGTGTTCCCAATGACTTCTGTTTTTGTCTCAGACTTCCAGCATCTGCAGTATTTTGCTTTACAGTACTGGTTGGGCACTGGAGCTGAGGATGCGATCCAAGAGAGGTGAGAGGGGGGAAAAATGACTAAAACCGCGGTCAAATCAATAGATCTGGAAACGGACCTTGAATGAGATGGGGGAGGAAGGAGAGATTTGGAAGGACTTGGGGATGGAGTTCCAGGGACTGGGCACAGAATGGTTGAATGCCTGCTTGTCAAAGGTATGGGGTACATGAAGCAGGCCTGTGCTCGCTGAGCAAAGGGAGTGGCTGGGTGAGTAGGGTTTGAAGAGGTAGTAGGGACCTTGGAGGGATTAAAGGTGAGTACAAGGATCTTGAACTCAATCTGCTGAGGGATGGAGAGCCAAAGGAGCCAAGTGAGGATTGCGGTAGTGGGATGGGCTCATGGAGCCTGGTACAGGAAAGGAAACGAGCTGCACACTACTGCAAACTCTACAGTTTGAGTAGTTGACTGCTTGGTGAGTCCAGCAGTCAACAATGTAATTCCTTTTCTGTGACATTACAATCCACGTTGTGTTAGTGGTACTTGGAAACAATGGTTTTCTGTCCAGATGATCATGTTACTTTTCCCAATTGAAACACATTGCAATCAATCTAATACAAATGAGTCACTTTTCAGTAACAGAAAACTGGCTTTGTATAAACATAAGAAAAAAGTATTCTATCTGTCTAAAGTCATTATTATTAATGTTTAGCATTCATATTAAAATTAAATTCCTACATGCGTTAGGTAAAAATCACCTACACAATAAAAAGTCACCTGAAAGAAAGTAAACTTCTATATACTAGTTTTCTGTCTAAATAGCCATCTGCAATTAAGAAGTTGAAAAAGTGATACAGACTGCTTGGAAAGTACTTTGTATTGTAATCTAAAACATTTTTAAACAATGTTCCTATCCATGTTAATAGGATTGTTAGGACAATTTACTTCAATACATGAAAGGAGCTGAAAAGCAATGATGCGTTAATGTTCCCTATACGTACCCCAATTTGCAAAGCTCAATTGCTGTGGGCTCATCCTTTCCACAGACAAGCACAGCCCAGCAAGCATTGCGCCTCACTTCATCATGATTAGAATGTAGCAATTTTACAAGTGGCTCCAATCCACCAGAAGTTCGCAACTGTGAAAAAAAACTCAGTTAGAGATGTCCTCAGTTTCGTATATCTAATTGCCACTAGGATTACAGAACAAGAGTGCACCTCAAGCCCCAAATCCCCTTTCTACCCCATATCTGCGCCATGACCCGCTCTGCCTTCCCCCACTTCCGCAACATCGCCCAGCTCCGCCACCATTTCATACCGCAGGCCACTGAAACCCTCAAATATGCTTTCATTACATCAAGCCTCGACTATGCAAACTCATTGCTCGTCGGCCTCCCCAATTCCTTCCTGCACAAGCTGCAGATCATCCAGAACTCGGCAGCCCGTGTCCTCTCCCGCACTAGGCTCCATGACCCTATCACCCCCATCCTTGCCCAACTCTACTGGCTTCCTATCACACAGAGAATCCAGTACAAGATCCTGGTCCTCACCTTCAAAGCCCTCCACGGTCTTGCTCCCCCCTACCTCTGCAACCTCCTAACTCCCTACTATCCTGTTCACTCCCTCCGCTCAGTGGGCTCCGGCCTGCTTCACATCCCCTGCCTCGCTTGCCCCACTCTGCCCCCCACCCTCTGGAGCTCCATCTCGCAGCTTCTCCAACTCACCCCTCCTTTGCCACCTTCAAGACCCATCTCAAGACCTTCCTCTTCGACCGTGCTTTTGATCTCCCTGCTTCCCCCCCTGCCCTCCACCCTCCCCCACCCCGACCTCCAGCTCGGATCCGTAACTTTGTCTGTCCAGCACCTTGGGACGTCCTCCCGACTTGAAAGGCACTTTACAAATGTAATTTTGTTGTTGTTGTTAGCCTCAAGACCACTGTCTTAACATTTAAGATGATACCAAATTTTGGAAAACTCTTAAATTTAGTCTTAATTAGAAAACCCGTTGAAGGACTGAATTTAAGAATTTTCCAAAATTCTGCACAATCACAGTGACCAATTATTCCCATAAGACTCATCATTGCGTGTTATGTTTTTCCATTAAGATATCAACCTTGCTGAGTTGGTAACACTTTCGGCTCGGAGTCAGAACGTTGTGGGTTCAACCCCCATATTAAGATTCGAACTCGCATAGCCAGTGTCAGCCAATTCAGTGTCGGAGGAACAACAATACAACTTATATAGTGCTCTCCAGGCAGGGTAGCATCTCAGATCGCTTAACAGTGGCAGTGCCTGATTCCAAGCCAGGGGGAGAGGGGACGTGGCCATAAGCATGGTCAAAGAGGAAAGTTTTCAGGCGGGACTCAAAAGAGGGGAGAGAGGGGGCAAGGCGGACGGATTGAGCGAGAGTGTTCCAGAATTTTGGGGCATAGTGGCTGAAAGCACGATCTTCGATGGTGGGGCAGAGGGTGCGAGGGACGAGCAGGAGGCTGGTTCCAGTTGAGCGGAGGCGCCTGGTGGTGGATTGGGGAGCGAGGAGGTCGGAGAGGTAGGGAAGTGCCAGGGAGCAATGCATTGGCAGATGAGACATTAAACTTGGGTGCTTTCAACCTAATAAAGTGGATGTTAAAGATTCCATGACACTACTTGGACTATGCAATGCTTCTCTAGTGTTAATTGCTTTTCAAATAGGGAGCACCCCAGTTTTTGCTCTTCTGTACATGTTTGTGGTACACTAATTTCATTTGCCGCTAGCTTAAGTATCCTTGATCATCAATATCACTTCCTAAACCATCTCCTCAGCCCCCAGTAAATCATCAATTTAAATATGTCACCCAACACAATATTAAAGCCACCAAAGTTCTTCAATTTCCACAGAACAGGATCCTAATCACTAGTTTTGAACGAATTCCCACCTGAGTTCTTGCATCTGCATCACAAGCTAATGCAGCCACGACTTGTGCAGCCTTACTCTGCACCACTGTGTTGGTGGACTTCAATGGTTCCACAATGGCAGTCATAGCTCCATAATATTGGATACTACTGCGTGAAGATTCTTGAAGGGCCATATTAGTGAGAACGGTAGCAGCATTGGCAACAGCTCCATCTCCTGATTCAGTCAGAAGTTTGACCAATGGCTCCACACCGTCAGCTTCAAAAACTGCACTAGTTCAAACAAGAAATATTAAGAATAAATTGTTTCCTCTAAACTGCATTGATAATTTGATAAGGCAAATTAAAGGATGAATATTAGATGTGTCCCATGTAGCTAATTTTTTAGTAACAACTGGTTTGAAAATAATTACATTTAAAGGACGTATTTGTTCAGCTCCAGTTTGCCATTCTTACAATCTACCATTATTATAGTCTGCCACTTGTTCAGTCAAACATCTGTTTCCTACGGTTCCTGTCAATGTGTCTACTCTGTTTTTAAACTGATTGTGAATCATTCCTATTTTTTACTACATTTTATGGAAGGAAACAGAGAGTGAATTTCCATATGGTGAAGTCCACATTCAGGGTAGGTTTTACACATTTGAAGGAATAGGCTTAATAGCTTTTTTCAATCCAGCTTCATTACATTTTTCCTGACATGTTTCTCATCACTTCTAGGCTTGATTATTTCAATAACCTTCTTATTATAACCCAACTCTATTTTTTCCACCTCTCTTTGCAACCCCCAGTCCCCTGATGTTCTGTCAGCCTGCCTGTCAGATTTCAGGGGCTGGATGAGCGCAAATTTCCTTCAACTGAACGCCGACAAGACGGAAGCCATACTCTTTGGCTCTCGTCAACGTCTCAAATCCCACAGCTCTCACCTCCTCCACCTACCCGATCTCCCCCTAAAACTTTCCAAACCCGTATGCAACCTTGGCGTCAGGTTCGACCCCCAATTATCCTTCCTCCCCCACATCCGGTCCCTCACCAGCACTGCTTTCTTCCACCTCCGACGCATCATCCGTTTCCGCAAATACCGCTCTCCGAGCTCTCCGCTCTCCGATTACCATCCCAAAAATGTGAAGGGCTTTGGCACAGAGACATAGTCCCATGAAGCAGACTTCACAACCCATGTGCTGACTCCTAGGTCAGTGTCAGCCAACCATGGCCAGCAATGGTAGCGTTAAGGGGTTGGGGAACATGCCTTTGCCAGCTGAGCGAGGGATGGGCATAAAAATGGAAATCCACCACTGCATGCCCAGGAGTTTGATACAGGCCGCAGAACTGTTTTGGACGAAGATCATGGCCGTAAAGAATTTTGGCAAAATGTTTAAATTTAATCATAGTGGAACTAGAATCTTTTGAAGTAAAGAAGTGATGGGACTCAAATGTAAAAGGCAGTTAATCTGAAGGACCAGGTTTTTATGAGAAACAGATGGGTTCAGTACTAAACACATGACAGTACAGAATCCAATCCTGGCACAGTAGCTGAATCCCAGATGACACTTCAGCTGCTACCCTTCAGCTGTTCTTGCTCAGGGTGAGCAAGTAAAAGAGATACACGCCTAGGCCATTGAAGAATTTTCCAGAATTCCAGAATCTCACACTTTAAGACAATAATCTTAGACCATGGGAAATTGCAGGCTAAAGGCTTCAGCTGCAAGAACACATGACAAGGCAAACTAATTCAAAGGAAACCTGACAAGTAGTTTATTAAACAAAAAGCACTTACGTAGCATTGGTGGGATTAGCGGTTGTTAGATTTGCTAGAGCTAGAGCTGCAGCTTCTTTAACGTCCTCATTGTCACTGACCAGCAACCGAACCAGTTGAGGAATGCCAACTGCAAATAGTTTAAAGATATGTTTTCAGCTCTACATACATACAATCTTCTATTAGCGAAATGACTGTTTCTACAAACACAATTTAACGTTTGAAAGGTTTTACAATTTATTCATACTTACGTTCTTTTTTGAAAGCCTCTTTGCTACTACTAAGTTCACACATAACAGACACAGCTTGGCAAGCAGCTATTTTGATTCCATCATTGTTGACTCCCAAAAGATTTACCAGTGCTTTTTCTACACCTTGCTCATGGAAAAATTTTCTGTTCTCACCTTATTGTATTAAAAAGAAATAGAGTTGATTATTTTTTAAAACAAACACTATTATGAATTATTATAAGAACATAAGCAATAGGAGCAGGAATAGGCCATTTGGCCCCTCAAGCCTGCCCCGCCATTTAATAACATCATGGCTGATCTTCTAACCTAATTATTTGCTACAAGTAATTATTGAACCTAAGAATATAACTATAATAGAGAATCAGACCAGGTTTTGAGGAGAATCAATATTTGGGGGGAAAAGCAAGGAATTGAAATTAGATTAGCGAGCTCCAGTCAAAGAGCCAATGCAAGTATAGACGTGTGGGTTCAAAGCTCACATTGAGCTGACAGTTTAATGTCCCAGTGTAATATTGGGGAAATGCTTAATTGTCTGTAATGTCATCTCTTGGTGGGACTTTAAACTGAGCCCCTGTGTCTCTTTAGATGGATGTTAAAGATCCCATGGGTAGTCAAAAACTAAGGGAATTTCTGCTGGTGTCTTCACCAACAATCCTCGAGATAAATTGGTCATTCAGCTCACAACTATTTGTGGGACCTTTCTGTAGGCAAGTGACTGCCATATTTGCCTACAAATACACAATCACTGCCCTTAGCAGCAATTAATTATGCATTACATTGAGTCATTTTGGCATTTTGCCATATCAAATGTAAGGATATTATTATCTTACTATTGATTATCAAGTCCAGATGGATGCTCCAATGCAATGTTGAGGATTGAGTTACATTGTTGGAGGTGCTGTATTTTGAATGAGATGTTAAATCGAGGTATTGTCTGCCTGTTAAGGTGGACATTAAAGATCCCATAGCACTAGAAAAGAGTTTCTTCCAGTCTCCTGGACAACAATTCCCCAAACACAACAACACCAACAACAAACTACAAGTGGTTACTCACTTCATGGCTGTTTGTGGGATATTGGTGTGTGCAAATGAGGTGAGTAAACAACTTACTCAAGAGTATTACTGGCCAGGACGCAGAGAGTGAATTTGCTGTCACAACCTGTTGCTGCTGCATTTGTCTAGAAAAACAGCTCCTATATTTGGTATAGCTGTAAAATATTTTGTGTCATTTTGATGTTATAGGTGCAATATTAAATGCTATTATTATTAGAAAATGACAAGCTGTAGAAAGTGTTAATTGTTCCAATTTTCAAAGCAATGCATCTTAAAAGTAACAAGAAATAAAAATTTGACCTACAGTTACGTGCAGATGCTGTAATGGCTTTGGCCGCCCGCTTCTGTGCCTCTGGCAGAGTGGATGTAGTTACGAATGTCAGAAACTTTTCTAGGCCTCCTGTTTCGCGGATAACCTGCATAGTTTCTACATCTTCCAGACAGTTTGCTAGTACAGTCAGTGCTTCTACATGAAGGTCAGTAAAATCCTGAGGAGAGAATAATAATCTGAGGAAGAATCGCTTTAGACATAAGAGACAGACATTAAATGAGTACTAAGTACTCAGAAAAAAAATTACAAATCTGTTCTAAGTGTGTTTCAAAACAAAAACCTAAATAGTGTATATCACCAAACAGCATCATCATACAAATGATATGGGGGAACCATAAATATTTTCAAGTATTAATCCACAATCCCAATAGTATTTTTACAGTAGTTTTGTCAGTAATCTTATTTTTGGAATATTTACTGTTTAACCCGCATTTTCTGCATAGAATTTAAGATAACAGATTGCAGCAGGTTGATTAAAATAAATTTAAGTCAATTAGAATTTAGATTTCACTTAAACATTAGTGAGATCAGGAGGTGCGAATAAAAGAGATTGGTAGTGTTCAAAATATCTGGATGAATGTTGTCCTCTAAGGAAGAGTAATAATAATAATAATAATAATCCTTGCATTTGATATAGCGCTTTTCACGTCGGGAGGACGTCCCAAAGCGCTTCACAGAACACACTGTAAAGTGAATTGACTGTATATTTGTGGGCGAACGCGGCAGCCAATTGCGCACAGCAATGTCCCACAAACAGTCGTAGATTGAAAATGACCAATTTAATTATTGTTTTTTTTTTNGGAGGGATTATTATTAGGCGTGTGGAGTAAGGAAACTTGCCCAAGGTTTCGCCCTGCCTGGAATTGAACTCAGGTCTCTCACTTGCAAAGCGAGTGCTCTAACCACTGAGCTACAGGACTCCACGTAGCGAGTAGATGTATTTTAATGTGAATAAATGTAAGGTTATGCTCACTGAAACAGGATACATAAAAATTGCACAGGGTGAATGAATGTCCATTAGAAAAAGAAAGTGATTGGTGTTCATGCCAGTTCTACTAATCAATAGAAAGCAGTTATAATCACATATTGAAGTGTACGTATCAATCGTATTTGACTGCAAGTTTAAACATTATTTAACCTTTTGCAGATCATTGGTGAGGTCATGTTTGAAATTGAAAGGATTACTTTTCCACACCGTAATGCACATGTGGAATAGATTCTCAGCTAACTCAGTCTACTCTTTACTGATTTGTACCTTTAAGAAAGATCTAAATAAACATCTAGTAACGAATGAGATTGAGGGTTCTAAGGATAAAATCTTATTAAAATAATTGAATGATCTCAACATGATTGCTCTAAAATCTGGCCTTGAAAAATACAACAGATCCCATATGTTCAAAAGATTGATTTTGTTAAAGAGAACTGAGTTCTGTTGTTTTCCAGTGCAATCTTCATTCTCACAAAAATCAAGTCATTTATTGTTGCATAAACATATCATTTACAGTAATTGCCTGCATTTATTTATTACCGGTGTTTCAAGAACTTGCAAGATGCTTTCAAGACCTTTATTCTGACGCAACTGAATTCTGCAATCTGGATCAATGACAATGGGTGTTAGGGTTTGCAGGGCTAACTGCTGTATAACAGGATATTCAGATTTCAGTAATTCCAGAATTGGAGGAACGCCATTCAATTCGCAAATAGCAGCTCGATTCTGAAAGTCCTAGAAAACACAGGGAAAATAGTCAAAACAATCTCTGTGATTTGTTTCAGTGTTGAGTGTACTTCTTTTTAAAAAAACTCAACACTGAAACATTTTTTTTTAAAAAAGGTACTGAATTCCAGATACAGACAGTAAACCTAAGTTAAGTAATTATACACCATATACTGTATGTGTGTGTATATATATAACATACATATGCATTACTATTAAAGTTATTTTAAAGTCAATTACAAGAAGTATTTTTCAAGGCTTCTCAAATCTTAATGGATAACTTTACTGCCCAATGTTAGCAACAACAACCACAACAATTTGTATTTATATAGCGCCCTTCATGCAGAGTAGCTTTTCTAGCAGTAAACCTACAAACCAGATGGCCACAAAGTTGATTGTCTTGACTGTGTTCAGTCAACTAGGGAGCAGTTAAGATGCTACAATTGGTCTTGGCATCCCTGAGCCAGGGAGGGAGTGGATGGTACAAAGTGAATTTGTGTGGACATCCTGGATCAGTGGTGATAATAATTGTTGCGCATTATCACATCTTCTAGACGTCCCAAAGCGCTTCTCAGAATATACTGTAAAGTGAATTGACTGTATATTTGTGGGCGAAACACGGCAGCCAATTGCGAACAGCAGTGTCCCACAAACATTGGTGATAGCAGTAAAGGAAGATTGCTCTCCATTGAAAATGTTGCATCCTGGTGATGAAGGGGTGGGTGTACTAAATATTACAAATATTCTCTTTCCAGTATTGACTTAGAATCCTAGATCCACTGTGGTATTTCTGAGTACAAGGTCCTTGCACATTGGGTTGAAAATGCATTCTTCAGAAGAACAATAGTACTTCAAACCTTGCGACAAAGAACATCTTCCAGAACCCCACATACGTCCTGCTGACCTTTATACTGCTATTTACCTGATGAACTCTTTTACAACCATTGCCATCTCCCCCCACCCCCAGCAAATGTAAAGGTTATATTTACGGAATTGGTTGGAAGTATGAGAAATATACTGATGATTATACTTCATTATTGTGTAGTGCACAATTTTATGTTCATTCTGCATTAAGCTTCATTAAGTAATGTACAACAATACAATTTGAACCTGCTTGTTTTTAAATGCTGCTTTTTCAAATATCTATTTAATTTCCTAGTTAATAAATGCACTCTATCTCATCAACACAATCCAACCACCTATCTCTATGTTCAGATTTTATTTCCCAAATTGCCTTAATTTTTAATTGATTTTCTTAAATGTGTGCCCTCTCATTATCAATGGAAATGATCTATTAATATTTACCCTACTGTAATCATTCCAAACTCCACGCAATATTATTATTATTAGCCCTCTTTGTAATCTCATGACAAATGGTTTGGTCAAAATTTAGTTTAGTTGATCACCTCTTATTTTGCAATCAGCAACTTGAAACTTTTTTTTAAGGTTCTCTTATCCCTTATAAACCATGAAATGTAACTTTTTTTTATTATTGTTGGAAAATAAGAGTGATTCTCTAGCTGAAGGTATTTTACTAAATTTGGGCATATTATTCTCTGTTGTTTGTTTGGTAAGTTTACTAACCTTAGAGTTTGTTTATCATAGAGATATACTATAAGCTCATAGCACCACTCTAAAATCAGATCCTTCACTTATGAAGGCTAACAAACTTATCAAAAATCAGAGACTTGTCACTACAGATCTCGATTATAAACAGAGAAAAGGAAATACCACCTTAACTAAATTTGAAATAGATTCAACAGAATTCTTTAAGACATCAGGATCAGAGCTTGACAGAAGGCGGATGAGTGGTTCGAGTCCACCATGCTCAAAAATTTCCACTTTGCTGGTGTAGTCAACAGAAATGGAAGCTAGGCAGAGAGTAGCAAGTTCATGGACAATCACATCCTCTGCAAGCAAAACGAAACAGACAATAAAATATTTCTTATTAATTATTCTGAAAGTTGTCATCTTTCAATAATTTTGATTCATGTTTGTGTGTCTTTTCAAAAAGAAGGATATCTGTCTAGGCATGAGATTGATTACACTTAGCCTACGCTGAGAAAATTAAATACTGTACTTCAAGGACACATTGAAATATGTAGGGTTTTCTGTCAAGAATAGCCAAATGGGAACAAATTGAGACAACACAAAAATGGATAAATATTCTGGATTTTTCTTGATTACTTTTGGGGATTAGGGTTAGTTATACAACTGCTTTCTCAAGAGATTGGATGAGTAGAATGAGTCAATGAAATTAATAATTAGAGATTGTTTCTGGATTTGATGGGACAAATGATTACTCCACAGTTTTCTATGTTCATAACGGAGATCAACCCTGAAACTCATCTCAACTATTCAGTTACAGTTGGGAAATTCTGCCAAGGACAGAGGCAAGGAAATCCTCTTGGCTGATGACACCCTAGAATGTCTATTTCAGTCTATTCTGCATAAAGCTAAGGGATGTAAGGCTTCATAGACAAGCTCTGCAAATTAAAATTAAAAATATTTGCCCTCAACTACAGTAACTACATTTTACAGTAATTACTGGAGGGCTTTAATAAGTTTGGATGACTTGATAAGGTGCTATATAAAATGCAACGAGTATTATTAATGATCCAGAATTACCTTCTGGTCCTAGACATGCAATAATTGATGTTAGAAAATCCACTTTCTTCAAAACTTTTCGTACTTCAACTGAAAAGAAAAACAGAGAAAAATAGCTGAGCTCACTAATTGGAAAAATGTCTGGGGGCTGGGGATGTAGGGTGGGGGGCTGGGCTGGGGTTGAGGTGGGGGGCTGGGGTGGGGGCATGGGTTGGAGTGGGGGGTCGGGGGGCTGGGCTGGGGATGGTGGGGGCTGGGCTGGGGGGGGCTGGGGTTGGGGGGCTGGGCTGGGATGGGGGGGGGCTGGCTGGGTGGGGGGGATGGGGGGGCTGGGCTGGGGTGGGGGGGGGTGGGGGCTGGGGATGGGGGGGGCTGGGGATGGGGGGGCTGGGGGGGGGGCTGGGCTGGGGATGGGGGGGGGTGGGGGGGCTGGGCGTGGGGGGGGCTGGGATGGGGGGGGCTGGGGATGGGGGGGGGCTGGGCTGGGATGGGGGGGGGCTGGGCTGGGGATGGTGGGGGGGCTGGGCTGGGGATGGGGTGGGGTGGGGGGGTGGGGGGGCTGGGGATGGGGGGGTGGGGGGCTGGGGATGGGGGGCTGGGCTGGGATGGGGGGGGGGCTGGGGATGGGGGCTGGGATGGGGGGGCTGGGGATGGGGGGGGCTGGGGGTGGGGGGCTGGGCTGGGGATGGGGGGGCTGGGGATGGGGGGGGTGGGGGGGGCTGGGGATGGGGGGGGGCTGGGGATGGGGGGGGGCTGGGCTGGGGATGTGGGGTGGGGGGGCTGGGGATGGGGGGGGGCTGGGCTGGGGATGGGGGGGGGCTGGGGGGTGGGGGGGCTGGGCTGGGGATGGGGGGAGGCTGGGGGGGATGGGGGGGAGGCTGGGGATGGAGGGGGGGGCTGGGCTGGGGGGGTGGGGGGGCTGGGCTGGGTGTCCAGGCCGAGGGAAGAACTAAATACAAACCAAAAAAGAGAACCAAATTGCAAGTTAAGTTGAAGGTAAACCGGGAATGTGTTTGACTGAAACTTACCCGAGTCAGTCAGCGGCTCCCAGGCCCCGGCCGCCCGTTACCAGGCAACGCCACAACAACCCACCGCGTACACACGTCATCACTCCAGGAAGCAGCGACGGCATCTGCCACGTGACTCACGGAGGTGGGGAGGGGGAGGGGTTAAGTGGAGGGGTGGTGGGGTTATGTGGTTGGGGATGGTGGGTGGGGAGGGGATGGGGAGAGGGTTGGGTGGATGGATGGGGAGAGGGTTGGGTGGATGGAGAGGGTTGGGTGGATGGGGAAGGGGAGAGGTGGGATGGAAGGGGTGGGTGGGAGTAATAATAATAATAAAAATAATGTACTGTATTTAAAATTAACAAAATTATTCCACTTTCCAACCTCTTTCTTCCCCCTCCCACCCCTGTCTGCCTGTTCAGGTGGACATTAAAGATTCCCATAATAACAATTCTTGCGTTCGATACAGCGCCGTATCACGTCTTTGAGACGTCTCAAAGCGCTTCGCAGGATGTACTGTAAAGTGGATTGACTGTGTATTTTGTGGGTGAAACGTGGCAGCCAATTGCGCACGGCAAAGTCCCACAAACATTCATGGATTCAGTGACCACATTACTACTTTTTTTTAATTTTTATTATTTTTTGAAGGGATTATTACCATCAGAAAAACCATCCACCAATTGACTAACAACTGGGTTCCTACGCACTGCTCGATAAACAATGTTGTGTGTGTGTGGAGTAAGGAAACTTGCCTTAGGTTTTGCCCCGACCCTCCCGGGAATCGAACCTTGGCACGATTCAAAAAGAGAAGGGTGTTTCTCTCTCCCAGTGTCCTGCCCAACAAATATCCCCCAAATAGACATTTTTCCAATTAGTGAGCTCAGCTATTTTTCTCTGTTTTTCTTTTCAGTTGAAGTACGAAAAGTTTTGAAGAAAGTGGATTTCTAACATCAATTATTGCATGTCTAGGACCAGAAGGTAATTCTGGATCATTAATAATACTCGTTGCATTTTATATAGCACCTTATCAAGTCATCCAAACTTATTAAAGCCCTCCAGTAATTACTGTAAAATGTAGTTACTGTAGTTGAGGGCAAATATTTTTAATTTTAATTTGCAGAGCTTGTCTATGAAGCCTTACATCCCTTAGCTTTATGCAGAATAGACTGAAATAGACATTCTAGGGTGTCATCAGCCAAGAGGATTTCCTTGCCTCTGTCCTTGGCAGAATTTCCCAACTGTAACTGAATAGTTGAGATGAGTTTCAGGGTTGATCTCCGTTATGAACATAGAAAACTGTGGAGTAATCATTTGTCCCATCAAATCCAGAAACAATCTCTAATTATTAATTTCATTGACTCATTCTACTCATCCAATCTCTTGAGAAAGCAGTTGTATAACTAACCCTAATCCCCAAAAGTAATCAAGAAAAATCCAGAATATTTATCCATTTTTGTGTTGTCTCAATTTGTTCCCATTTGGCTATTCTTGACAGAAAACCCTACATATTTCAATGTGTCCTTGAAGTACAGTATTTAATTTTCTCAGCGTAGGCTAAGTGTAATCAATCTCATGCCTAGACAGATATCCTTCTTTTTGAAAAGACACACAAACATGAATCAAAATTATTGAAAGATGACAACTTTCAGAATAATTAATAAGAAATATTTTATTGTCTGTTTCGTTTTGCTTGCAGAGGATGTGATTGTCCATGAACTTGCTACTCTCTGCCTAGCTTCCATTTCTGTTGACTACACCAGCAAAGTGGAAATTTTTGAGCATGGTGGACTCGAACCACTCATCCGCCTTCTGTCAAGCTCTGATCCTGATGTCTTAAAGAATTCTGTTGAATCTATTTCAAATTTAGTTAAGGTGGTATTTCCTTTTCTCTGTTTATAATCGAGATCTGTAGTGACAAGTCTCTGATTTTTGATAAGTTTGTTAGCCTTCATAAGTGAAGGATCTGATTTTAGAGTGGTGCTATGAGCTTATAGTATATCTCTATGATAAACAAACTCTAAGGTTAGTAAACTTACCAAACAAACAACAGAGAATAATATGCCCAAATTTAGTAAAATACCTTCAGCTAGAGAATCACTCTTATTTTCCAACAATAATAAAAAAAGTTACATTTCATGGTTTATAAGGGATAAGAGAACCTTAAAAAAAAGTTTCAAGTTGCTGATTGCAAAATAAGAGGTGATCAACTAAACTAAATTTTGACCAAACCATTTGTCATGAGATTACAAAGAGGGCTAATAATAATAATATTGCGTGGAGTTTGGAATGATTACAGTAGGGTAAATATTAATAGATCATTTCCATTGATAATGAGAGGGCACACATTTAAGAAAATCAATTAAAAATTAAGGCAATTTGGGAAATAAAATCTGAACATAGAGATAGGTGGTTGGATTGTGTTGATGAGATAGAGTGCATTTATTAACTAGGAAATTAAATAGATATTTGAAAAAGCAGCATTTAAAAACAAGCAGGTTCAAATTGGTATTGTTGTACATTACTTAATGAAGCTTAATGCAGAATGAACATAAAATTGTGCACTACACAATAATGAAGTATAATCATCAGTATATTTCTCATACTTCCAACCAATTCCGTAAATATAACCTTTACATTTGCTGGGGGTGGGGGGAGATGGCAATGGTTGTAAAAGAGTTCATCAGGTAAATAGCAGTATAAAGGTCAGCAGGACGTATGTGGGGTTCTGGAAGATGTTCTTTGTCGCAAGGTTTGAAGTACTATTGTTCTTCTGAAGAATGCATTTTCAACCCAATGTGCAAGGACCTTGTACTCAGAAATACCACAGTGGATCTAGGATTCTAAGTCAATACTGGAAAGAGAATATTTGTAATATTTAGTACACCCACCCCTTCATCACCAGGATGCAACATTTTCAATGGAGAGCAATCTTCCTTTACTGCTATCACCAATGTTTGTGGGACACTGCTGTTCGCAATTGGCTGCCGTGTTTCGCCCACAAATATACAGTCAATTCACTTTACAGTATATTCTGAGAAGCGCTTTGGGACGTCTAGAAGATGTGATAATGCGCAACAATTATTATCACCACTGATCCAGGATGTCCACACAAATTCACTTTGTACCATCCACTCCCTCCCTGGCTCAGGGATGCCAAGACCAATTGTAGCATCTTAACTGCTCCCTAGTTGACTGAACACAGTCAAGACAATCAACTTTGTGGCCATCTGGTTTGTAGGTTTACTGCTAGAAAAGCTACTCTGCATGAAGGGCGCTATATAAATACAAATTGTTGTGGTTGTTGTTGCTAACATTGGGCAGTAAAGTTATCCATTAAGATTTGAGAAGCCTTGAAAAATACTTCTTGTAATTGACTTTAAAATAACTTTAATAGTAATGCATATGTATGTTATATATATACACACACATACAGTATATGGTGTATAATTACTTAACTTAGGTTTACTGTCTGTATCTGGAATTCAGTACCTTTTTTAAAAAAAAATGTTTCAGTGTTGAGTTTTTTTAAAAAGAAGTACACTCAACACTGAAACAAATCACAGAGATTGTTTTGACTATTTTCCCTGTGTTTTCTAGGACTTTCAGAATCGAGCTGCTATTTGCGAATTGAATGGCGTTCCTCCAATTCTGGAATTACTGAAATCTGAATATCCTGTTATACAGCAGTTAGCCCTGCAAACCCTAACACCCATTGTCATTGATCCAGATTGCAGAATTCAGTTGCGTCAGAATAAAGGTCTTGAAAGCATCTTGCAAGTTCTTGAAACACCGGTAATAAATAAATGCAGGCAATTACTGTAAATGATATGTTTATGCAACAATAAATGACTTGATTTTTGTGAGAATGAAGATTGCACTGGAAAACAACAGAACTCAGTTCTCTTTAACAAAATCAATCTTTTGAACATATGGGATCTGTTGTATTTTTCAAGGCCAGATTTTAGAGCAATCATGTTGAGATCATTCAATTATTTTAATAAGATTTTATCCTTAGAACCCTCAATCTCATTCGTTACTAGATGTTTATTTAGATCTTTCTTAAAGGTACAAATCAGTAAAGAGTAGACTGAGTTAGCTGAGAATCTATTCCACATGTGCATTACGGTGTGGAAAAGTAATCCTTTCAATTTCAAACATGACCTCACCAATGATCTGCAAAAGGTTAAATAATGTTTAAACTTGCAGTCAAATACGATTGATACGTACACTTCAATATGTGATTATAACTGCTTTCTATTGATTAGTAGAACTGGCATGAACACCAATCACTTTCTTTTTCTAATGGACATTCATTCACCCTGTGCAATTTTTATGTATCCTGTTTCAGTGAGCATAACCTTACATTTATTCACATTAAAATACATCTACTCGCTACGTGGAGTCCTGTAGCTCAGTGGTTAGAGCACTCGCTTTGCAAGTGAGAGACCTGAGTTCAATTCCAGGCAGGGCGAAACCTTGGGCAAGTTTCCTTACTCCACACGCCTAATAATAATCCCTCCAAAAAAAAAAAAAATAATTAAATTGGTCATTTTCAATCTACGACTGTTTGTGGGACATTGCTGTGCGCAATTGGCTGCCGCGTTCGCCCACAAATATACAGTCAATTCACTTTACAGTGTGTTCTGTGAAGCGCTTTGGGACGTCCTCCCGACGTGAAAAGCGCTATATCAAATGCAAGGATTATTATTATTATTATTATTACTCTTCCTTAGAGGACAACATTCATCCAGATATTTTGAACACTACCAATCTCTTTTATTCGCACCTCCTGATCTCACTAATGTTTAAGTGAAATCTAAATTCTAATTGACTTAAATTTATTTTAATCAACCTGCTGCAATCTGTTATCTTAAATTCTATGCAGAAAATGCGGGTTAAACAGTAAATATTCCAAAAATAAGATTACTGACAAAACTACTGTAAAAATACTATTGGGATTGTGGATTAATACTTGAAAATATTTATGGTTCCCCCATATCATTTGTATGATGATGCTGTTTGGTGATATACACTATTTAGGTTTTTGTTTTGAAACACACTTAGAACAGATTTGTAATTTTTTTTCTGAGTACTTAGTACTCATTTAATGTCTGTCTCTTATGTCTAAAGCGATTCTTCCTCAGATTATTATTCTCTCCTCAGGATTTTACTGACCTTCATGTAGAAGCACTGACTGTACTAGCAAACTGTCTGGAAGATGTAGAAACTATGCAGGTTATCCGCGAAACAGGAGGCCTAGAAAAGTTTCTGACATTCGTAACTACATCCACTCTGCCAGAGGCACAGAAGCGGGCGGCCAAAGCCATTACAGCATCTGCACGTAACTGTAGGTCAAATTTTTATTTCTTGTTACTTTTAAGATGCATTGCTTTGAAAATTGGAACAATTAACACTTTCTACAGCTTGTCATTTTCTAATAATAATAGCATTTAATATTGCACCTATAACATCAAAATGACACAAAATATTTTACAGCTATACCAAATATAGGAGCTGTTTTTCTAGACAAATGCAGCAGCAACAGGTTGTGACAGCAAATTCACTCTCTGCGTCCTGGCCAGTAATACTCTTGAGTAAGTTGTTTACTCACCTCATTTGCACACACCAATATCCCACAAACAGCCATGAAGTGAGTAACCACTTGTAGTTTGTTGTTGGTGTTGTTGTGTTTGGGGAATTGTTGTCCAGGAGACTGGAAGAAACTCTTTTCTAGTGCTATGGGATCTTTAATGTCCACCTTAACAGGCAGACAATACCTCGATTTAACATCTCATTCAAAATACAGCACCTCCAACAATGTAACTCAATCCTCAACACTGCATTGGAGCATCCATCTGGACTTGATAATCAATAGTAAGATAATAATATCCTTACATTTGATATGGCAAAATGCCAAAATGACTCAATGTAATGCATAATTAATTGCTGCTAAGGCAGTGATTGTGTATTTGTAGGCAAATATGGCAGTCACTTGCCTACAGAAAGGTCCACAAATAGTTGTGAGCTGAATGACCAATTTATCTCGAGGATTGTTGGTGAAGACACCAGCAGAAATTCCCTTAGTTTTTGACTACCCATGGGATCTTTAACATCCATCTAAAGAGACACAGGGGCTCAGTTTAAAGTCCCACCAAGAGATGACATTACAGACAATTAAGCATTTCCCCAATATTACACTGGGACATTAAACTGTCAGCTCAATGTGAGCTTTGAACCCACACGTCTATACTTGCATTGGCTCTTTGACTGGAGCTCGCTAATCTAATTTCAATTCCTTGCTTTTCCCCCCAAATATTGATTCTCCTCAAAACCTGGTCTGATTCTCTATTATAGTTATATTCTTAGGTTCAATAATTACTTGTAGCAAATAATTAGGTTAGAAGATCAGCCATGATGTTATTAAATGGCGGGGCAGGCTTGAGGGGCCAAATGGCCTATTCCTGCTCCTATTGCTTATGTTCTTATAATAATTCATAATAGTGTTTGTTTTAAAAAATAATCAACTCTATTTCTTTTTAATACAATAAGGTGAGAACAGAAAATTTTTCCATGAGCAAGGTGTAGAAAAAGCACTGGTAAATCTTTTGGGAGTCAACAATGATGGAATCAAAATAGCTGCTTGCCAAGCTGTGTCTGTTATGTGTGAACTTAGTAGTAGCAAAGAGGCTTTCAAAAAAGAACGTAAGTATGAATAAATTGTAAAACCTTTCAAACGTTAAATTGTGTTTGTAGAAACAGTCATTTCGCTAATAGAAGATTGTATGTATGTAGAGCTGAAAACATATCTTTAAACTATTTGCAGTTGGCATTCCTCAACTGGTTCGGTTGCTGGTCAGTGACAATGAGGACGTTAAAGAAGCTGCAGCTCTAGCTCTAGCAAATCTAACAACCGCTAATCCCACCAATGCTACGTAAGTGCTTTTTGTTTAATAAACTACTTGTCAGGTTTCCTTTGAATTAGTTTGCCTTGTCATGTGTTCTTGCAGCTGAAGCCTTTAGCCTGCAATTTCCCATGGTCTAAGATTATTGTCTTAAAGTGTGAGATTCTGGAATTCTGGAAAATTCTTCAATGGCCTAGGCGTGTATCTCTTTTACTTGCTCACCCTGAGCAAGAACAGCTGAAGGGTAGCAGCTGAAGTGTCATCTGGGATTCAGCTACTGTGCCAGGATTGGATTCTGTACTGTCATGTGTTTAGTACTGAACCCATCTGTTTCTCATAAAAACCTGGTCCTTCAGATTAACTGCCTTTTACATTTGAGTCCCATCACTTCTTTACTTCAAAAGATTCTAGTTCCACTATGATTAAATTTAAACATTTTGCCAAAATTCTTTACGTCCATGATCTTCGTCCAAAACAGTTCTGCGGCCTGTATCAAACTCCTGGGCATGCAGTGGTGGATTTCCATTTTTATGCCCATCCCTCGCTCAGCTGGCAAAGGCATGTTCCTCCAACCCCTTAACGCTACCATTGCTGGCCATGGTTGGCTGACACTGACCTAGGAGTCAGCACATGGGTTGTGAAGTCTGCTTCATGGGACTATGTCTCTGTGCCAAAGCCCTTCACATTTTTGGGATGGTAATCGGAGAGCGGAGAGCTCGGAGAGCGGTATTTGCGGAAACGGATGATGCGTCGGAGGTGGAAGAAAGCAGTGCTGGTGAGGGACCGGATGTGGGGGAGGAAGGATAATTGGGGGTCGAACCTGACGCCAAGGTTGCATACGGGTTTGGAAAGTTTTAGGGGGAGATCGGGTAGGTGGAGGAGGTGAGAGCTGTGGGATTTGAGACGTTGACGAGAGCCAAAGAGTATGGCTTCCGTCTTGTCGGCGTTCAGTTGAAGGAAATTTGCGCTCATCCAGCCCCTGAAATCTGACAGGCAGGCTGACAGAACATCAGGGGACTGGGGGTTGCAAAGAGAGGTGGAAAAAATAGAGTTGGGTTATAATAAGAAGGTTATTGAAATAATCAAGCCTAGAAGTGATGAGAAACATGTCAGGAAAAATGTAATGAAGCTGGATTGAAAAAAGCTATTAAGCCTATTCCTTCAAATGTGTAAAACCTACCCTGAATGTGGACTTCACCATATGGAAATTCACTCTCTGTTTCCTTCCATAAAATGTAGTAAAAAATAGGAATGATTCACAATCAGTTTAAAAACAGAGTAGACACATTGACAGGAACCGTAGGAAACAGATGTTTGACTGAACAAGTGGCAGACTATAATAATGGTAGATTGTAAGAATGGCAAACTGGAGCTGAACAAATACGTCCTTTAAATGTAATTATTTTCAAACCAGTTGTTACTAAAAAATTAGCTACATGGGACACATCTAATATTCATCCTTTAATTTGCCTTATCAAATTATCAATGCAGTTTAGAGGAAACAATTTATTCTTAATATTTCTTGTTTGAACTAGTGCAGTTTTTGAAGCTGACGGTGTGGAGCCATTGGTCAAACTTCTGACTGAATCAGGAGATGGAGCTGTTGCCAATGCTGCTACCGTTCTCACTAATATGGCCCTTCAAGAATCTTCACGCAGTAGTATCCAATATTATGGAGCTATGACTGCCATTGTGGAACCATTGAAGTCCACCAACACAGTGGTGCAGAGTAAGGCTGCACAAGTCGTGGCTGCATTAGCTTGTGATGCAGATGCAAGAACTCAGGTGGGAATTCGTTCAAAACTAGTGATTAGGATCCTGTTCTGTGGAAATTGAAGAACTTTGGTGGCTTTAATATTGTGTTGGGTGACATATTTAAATTGATGATTTACTGGGGGCTGAGGAGATGGTTTAGGAAGTGATATTGATGATCAAGGATACTTAAGCTAGCGGCAAATGAAATTAGTGTACCACAAACATGTACAGAAGAGCAAAAACTGGGGTGCTCCCTATTTCAAAAGCAATTAACACTAGAGAAGCATTGCATAGTCCAAGTAGTGTCATGGTATCTTTAACATCCACTTTATTAGGTTGAAAGCACCCAAGTTTAATGTCTCATCTGCCAATGCATTGCTCCCTGGCACTTCCCTACCTCTCCGACCTCCTCGCTCCCCAATCCACCACCAGGCGCCTCCGCTCAACTGGAACCAGCCTCCTGCTCGTCCCTCGCACCCTCTGCCCCACCATCGAAGATCGTGCTTTCAGCCACTATGCCCCAAAATTCTGGAACACTCTCGCTCAATCCGTCCGCCTTGCCCCCTCTCTCCCCTCTTTTGAGTCCCGCCTGAAAACTTTCCTCTTTGACCATGCTTATGGCCACGTCCCCTCTCCCCTGGCTTGGAATCAGGCACTGCCACTGTTAAGCGATCTGAGATGCTACCCTGCCTGGAGAGCACTATATAAGTTGTATTGTTGTTCCTCCGACACTGAATTGGCTGACACTGGCTATGCGAGTTCGAATTCTTAATATGGGGGTTGAACCCACAACGTTCTGACTCCGAGCCGAAAGTGTTACCAACTCAGCAAGGTTGATATCTTAATGGAAAAACATAACACGCAATGATGAGTCTTATGGGAATAATTGGTCACTGTGATTGTGCAGAATTTTGGAAAATTCTTAAATTCAGTCCTTCAACGGGTTTTCTAATTAAGACTAAATTTAAGAGTTTTCCAAAATTTGGTATCATCTTAAATGTTAAGACAGTGGTCTTGAGGCTAACAACAACAACAAAATTACATTTGTAAAGTGCCTTTCAAGTCGGGAGGACGTCCCAAGGTGCTGGACAGACAAAGTTACGGATCCGAGCTGGAGGTCGGGGTGGGGAGGGTGGAGGGCAGGGGGGAAGCAGGGAGATCAAAAGCACGGTCGAAGAGGAAGGTCTTGAGATGGGTCTTGAAGGTGGCAAAGGAGGGGTGAGTTGGAGAAGCTGCGAGATGGAGCTCCAGAGGGTGGGGGGCAGAGTGGGGCAAGCGAGGCAGGGGATGTGAAGCAGGCCGGAGCCCACTGAGCGGAGGGAGTGAACAGGATAGTAGGGAGTTAGGAGGTTGCAGAGGTAGGGGGGAGCAAGACCGTGGAGGGCTTTGAAG